TGGAGAGCCCTTTTACTTCCAGCTGTCGGCTCGATATGACAAGGCCAACCCGACAACAAGGTAAGCTATGGTCTGATTCACACTTGCGGCTGCTGTACATGCTAACATTCCTTGCCAGGACCTACCCGTACATGCGCTTGAAGCTCTCCGCCCCCGTCACCATCGAAAATCTACTGCCGTATGACTTCAAATACAGGATCTACGACAAGAACACCAAGAAAGACTGGTCCAACTTCCTTCGCAAGGGCGGGGTTAGCCCTGTGCACGTTGTCGAGCTGTCTCATCTGCTCCTCCTCAGTATCGATATGCAAGATACCGTCTTCAAGCCAAGCGAATTCGCCATCATCAACTCTGGCACCTCTGAGGACTTCCGCAAGGAGACGAACCTTGTATGCAAGGACGATTCAGGCCTGGCGCTCAATCTGAAGCTGCACTACTTCCGCGTTCCCGATAGCGGTGGCGCGTTCAAGGTTACTGTCTACTGCCCCTACGTCATCCTCAACAAGACGGGACTTGATGTGAGCATTCGCTCCAAGGGCTTTATGCAGCACGCCAAAGCGGCAGCCGGCCAGCAGTTGGTCGATGTCGGTGAAAGCCAACATAAAGCCCAACCAATCATGTTCTCCTTTGGTAGCGACGATCACAGAAACCGTGCATTGCTCAAGGTTGCCGATTCCGACTGGAGCAGACCGCAGAGTTTCGACGCCATTGGAAGTACCACCGAAGTGGTGCTCAACTCACCCTCGCGCAATGCCGAGATCCATATCGGTGTCACAGTCGATACGGGCCATGGCAAGTACAAGATGGTGAAGACAGTCACGCTTGCACCGAGATATGTCATCCAGAATAGGCTCGGCGAAGACATCAACATCCGAGAGCCGAGTTCGTCGTCAGTGCTGGAGCTCAAGACCGGCGCTCTTCGTCCGCTGCACTTCCTTCAAAAAGGTGCTGTCAAGCAGCTCTGCCTCTGCTACCCGGGTGTTGATAACCAGTGGACGGCTCCCTTTAACATTTCAGATTTGGGTACCACGCACGTCAAGATCGCTCGCGCCGGTCAACGGCAGAGACTCGTTAGAGTAGAGACGCTCATGGAGGAATCGACCATTTTCTTGAACCTGACCATGGAGACGAAGAACTGGCCCTTCTCGATGCGGAACGAGAGCGACACTGAGTTCACTTTCTATCAAGCAAACCCGAACGATGACGAGGACGGAATCGAAGACCACTCGGGCTGGCGTCCCGTGCGTTACCGTCTTCCGCCCCGGAGCATCATGCCCTACGCGTGGGACTTCCCGGCTGCCAAAAACAAGGAGATTTGCATCAGTGCCAATGGCAAGAACCGTCATGTGAAGTTGACCGAAATCGGAAACCTGGTTCCGATGAAGTTCGTTGACGCTAATGGCCAGACCAAGGTCATCGACATTAATGTCATCGCCGATGGGCCTACCCAGACTCTGATCCTGTCCAACTTCAAGCAGTCAAAGAGTCTGTACAAGCAAAAGTCGAATGCCAGCTCGACAGACCGTAGCACGTTTGAAGCCAAGGAGTTGGACACAGGCGTCACTTTCCGTGCGCAGCTGAGACTATCCGGCATTGGCATTTCACTGATTAATTCTCAACTGAAGGAACTGGCCTACATCACCTTCAGAGATGTGCAACTTCGATACAGCGATTCACAATTGTACCAGACTGTCAGCCTGGCTGTCAAGTGGATCCAAATCGACAACCAGCTGTACGGAGGCATATTCCCCATAATCTTGTACCCCAGTGTCGTGCCAAAGCGCGCACAAGAGATCGAGGCCCACCCGTCGCTGCATGCCATGGTGACTCGTGTCAAGGACGATTCATACGGTGTTGAATACATCAAGTACGCCACGATCCTCCTGCAGGAGATGACTGTCGAGCTTGACGAAGACTTTGTCTACGCCGTACTCGAATTCTCCAAGGTGCCGGGTGCATCATGGTCTTCATCCGATGAAGAGGACAAGTTGTGCGATGACAGCATTGACGTTCCGCAGCCGAAGCAGCTGGATTCTGGCCGTGACATCTACTTTGAGGTGTTGAACATCCAACCGATGCAGCTCGACCTGTCGTTTGTGAGAACGGAGCGAGTGAACGTGGAGGACAAGACATCATCAAAGAACCCAATCATGTTCTTCTTCAACGTCATGACCATGGCCATTGGCAACATCAACGATGCCCCCGTTCGGTTCAACGCCCTCATGCTCGAGAACATGCGCGTCTCTGTTCCAGTCCTCATCCAGAGAATCTCAAACCACTACAGTCAAGAGGCTCTCTACCAGGTACACCACATTCTTGGAAGTGCCGATTTCCTGGGTAACCCGGTTGGTCTGTTCAACAACATCAGCTCTGGATTTGCGGATATCTTTTACGAGCCATACCAAGGTCTCATCATGTCGGATAGGCCGGAAGATTTCGGTATTGGTCTAGCCCGTGGCGCCGGTTCCTTCTTCAAGAAGTCCGTTTTCGGCTTCAGTGACTCTTTCTCCAAGGTCACGGGTAGTTTCGCCAAGGGTCTCGCGGCTGCCACCATGGATAAGCAATTCCAGGACCGTCGCCGCATCACACGTGCTCGCAACCATCCCAAGCACGCCCTCTTTGGCGTCACCGCCGGTGCCAACAGCCTGTTTACCTCGGTTGCATCGGGCGTTGGAGGTCTTGCCCGCAAGCCGCTCGAAGGTGCAGAGCAGGAAGGCGCTCTCGGTTTCTTCAAGGGCATCGGCAAGGGTGTGGTCGGTCTGGCAACCAAACCGGCCATTGGCGTCCTAGATTTTGCCTCCAATGTCAGCGAAGGCGTGCGCAACACTACCACGGTCTTTGACGGGACCGAACTTGATCGCGTCAGACTACCGAGGTATATCCCCCCGGACGGTATCATCAGGCCCTACAGTCAACGTGAGGCGCTAGGCCAGAGCTGGCTCAAGCAGATCGACAACGGCAAGTACTTTGATGAGCAGTACATTGCCCATCTTGAGCTGCCAACTGAGGATAAGGTGGTTATGGTGACATTTGCACGGATCTTGCTTATCAGGAGCAGGAAGTTGCAGACGGAGTGGGATGTGCCCTTGAAGGATGTGCAGACCATTGCGAAGGAGAGGACGGGCTTGAGCTTGACGCTGAGAGGAGGGACCAATGGGCCCTTTATTCCCATTGGCGAAGAAAGTGGAAGGACATTTTTATACCGCCAGGTGGCGATTGCTGTGGAGGAGTTCAATCGCCGGTTCCGGGGATTGGAGTAAGGATGTTCAGAGAAAATGAGTTGATGAATGATGCGATGACGGTATGAGGTGGTAACGGTTCATTGTTGAATGGCGATTGTCTTTGGTTGCTTTCTCTCTTTCTTTTTATGATGATGCGATGAGGAAAAGAAAAACACTGATATGAGCTGTGGTGGATGTTTGATATTTTTTGCGTTCCACGCTTTTATGATTTGGTTAGCTCCGGAAAAAGTCAGAAGGTCAGGGTGTTGTTGATGATGAATGATGCACGATTCCCCTAGAACCAGAATACATTTGTATAACGTTTTTTCAAGTTTCATGATATCATCCTTTTGGTGTTGTTGGCATGCTCTGCGTCCAAGCTCCTGGCACAAGTTCATCTGATGGATTTCTCGCGAGCATTGTCATGACATCAACAGCATCCGATCAATATTCAGACGTGCCCGCCAACAGCCAAGCTTTAAATATGGCTACGATGTATTGTCTTGACACGCACCATCCAACCATCCGATCAGGTTTGCAAGCCCATCCCGGGGCCGAGGACAAATCCCCTGGAAACAGTCTAGGTACTATCGGGTATGTGCGTACCCCAACCCAAACGCTAGGCCCTATAACAAGTCGCCGCACTACAGGCGGCTAAAACGCCCTCTAACACGCGGGACGCACGGAGCCGCCCTGTCCAAGTCAAGTTCTGCGACAACTCATGTGTCGGATGTTCAGCCAATTGGATACATGGGTTTTGCGACGAACTTGTTTCGGGTTTTGGGTTCGTCTTCCATTCACTCTGGGAGGGAGACTTTGCTTTTTGGAGTTTGGTATCTTCAGGGCCAAAAGAAAAACGAACGGAAGCAAAGGGGTCACGGTCTTTTAGGGATCCGAGTCATCCTTGTCTGGTTTCTCTGTGACCTTAGTTCTTCCACTTGACTTGTACTTTTGTTATCATATTCTTTCTTCGATTTTGGAAGTCCGCGGTGCTTCACTTCAGTTCTTCTTTTCCGTCCGTTCGGGTGGCTTTTCGGTGCTTGTTTTCCTTGTGCTTTACAACATTGCTGGGCAATTACCTACCTACTTACCTACCTACTACACTACGTTCTTTCTTCGGTCATTGTCGTCGTCGGTCGGTCGGTAACATTAGGTCCAAGTCGCTGGTTCGAATACACCAAACCTACCCGATTGACTGTCCCTTCGTTTTCTCTTGGGGATCGATCCAGTCCAATATAGTCCAGTTCGAATTCGCAGATCACGGAACGGTTCGCGTCTGAGTTTGGTAGTCCTCCGGTCATTCATTCATTCATTCATTTGGTTCAATACCATCAGTTCATCGAAACCGCTTCGCTCTGCTTATCTTCCCAAGGAAAGGGAAAAAAAAAAAAAAGCCATCTACATCGGCACGAAAACGACCCGAGGACGGCTCTGTCTTTCAACATCAAGGGAACCGAGAGACCATCAGCTCATCAGCTCATCCATCTATCCATCCATTTTGGGGGCCTTCCTGCCGTTCAGATCAGACCAGACCAGGCCAGACCAGACCAGACCAAACCAGAAAAAGAAACGAACCCAACTTGTTCTGTCCTGCGGTACACTTGCTTACCTACCTATCCGGTGGTGGTATCAAGTTGTTTGCTTCATTCTCAACTCAACTATACCTACCTACCTACATACGTCAATTTCCTCACAATTCATCAAACCCTCTTTTCTTCCGGCCCCATACAACCCAAGTCAAAACACCCAGTCCAATAATCAACCCCCCCCCCCCCCCCCAAAAAAAAAAGCAAAAGCCTGCAAAAATGGGCCAAAACCTCTCCCTCTCCGAACCCTTCGCCGACACCTCGGGCGTCGTCCTCTCCCCGCAAGACCGCCATGCCGACATCATCGTCGGCATCACCTGGGCCTGCTCCATCTACGGCATGGGCATCATTTTCTGCGCTGTCCGGCTGTTGGACCGATGGTCCGGGGAACATGGGGAGCGGGGCGTCGGTTTTGCGGGGGTGGTGGGTGCTTTTCTGTGCGGGAGTGCGTGGCCTTTGGTCTTGGTTTATTTGATGGTTACGGAGAAGGAGGTGGAAAGAAAAGTGCAAGGGTATGGGGTTCCTGTTATGGGGAAGGTGTAGGTTTGTTGAAGGTGTGAGGGGGTGTCGTGAAGATACTTCTAGGAAGAGAAAAAGGTAGGCTTTCGGGCTGGAAGTGTGGGTGGACGGGCGGGCGGGAGATGACAGGCAGGATTTTGAATGGAAGTGTGCATGGTGAAAGGGAGGAGAGGATGATGGATAGGATAGGATCTGATGGGATGGAGTAGGGATAGGAAGGGTGCTTTTTTTTTTTTAGAGAGCTGTGAAAGGATGAATGAAGAGCGAGGAGTTGGTGTTCGATGTGCCTCTGGAAAAGTGCGACCATATCCCTGTTAGCGCACTACGTTCCCACACTCAATCGCCTGTACAGTCTTGGCAAGAGGTGTGTGTGCGTGCACACACACACACCGCATTTGACAAATCTGGCCATTTGACATCGCTTTACACGACTCAACTCAATCGTTTAACATCGAAATCTAGCCAAAACTAGTACAAAAAATCGATATTTTAATACTCTACGTCGTACAGTAGTCTATTTTAATATTTACGTTATCTTTTAAACCGTTATCGATATAATATACTACCCTAATACCTACTAGAAGGTATTAATAATAATAATACTAATAAATAACGAACATCCTAATAATATCGTTAAAACTACTAGTATAAGTATAAGGAGTACGTAGAAATATAAGCGCACTCTATCGGATACTAACAAGGCATTTTTACTATTACGAACTTCCCAAAATACTAAAAAGCTTCCTATATAGGCACTTAAAGTACAGCGTATACTATATTACTCCCTATACTTTATTAACTATAACTAATATTATAAAGGAAGTTATAAACCTCCTTATTTTGAAACCCGATTTATACTTCGATAAGATCTATACCTTTCTAGCCAACGAATATAACATACACGTTTCGACCGAGACCGTACGGCGGTACCTTCGATAGAATAAGTAGAAGAAGAAGCGACTTTATATAAAGGTATTATAATAATCCCCTATATTAATAGCCGAATAAATATTAAAGATCTCTTTATTTATTACCGAAATATTCGTATTCTATAACGAATTTAGTATAAACCGAAGGGACGGCGTTCGTTGTACTAATTAAGTACCCTACGGCGCTATTACAATAATATTAAATAAATTTGTACGCGGTATACAGTATCACCTCCTCCCAATTATTATAATAGATAGGCTACTCAATATATTAATATTTAAAGGTACAACAGATTTAATTAGGGTCTAGGACTAAATAGTAAAATGCCTATTCTTTAAAATAAATCTATTTCCCGGTTACAATAATATTTTAATAATAAATAATACTAACTAACACCCCCGTACCAAACTCCAGCACGCGTACAACTAGAAGGGGGTTCTATTATAGTATTTGCCGCCGTACTCTCCCGAATTCAATCCCATCGAAGTATATTTTAGCGATTTTAAACGGTAATTCAAAAGGGTATATTGTAATAAGGGTAATAATAAAATATTAAACGATAATTTTATTACGTTTTTTAAGCGACTAGTATAGAATGTAGGGTATAGAGTATAATAAATCCGTAGTTATTTTAAGAACGTAAAGCTAATAATAAATCGATTTAATAATATTAATAAAGAGTATAGCGAATTGTATATTAATGAGCTGGTCGAATATAGAGAGACGGGTACTATATCTAAGCGGCGGTAGAGAATATAGAAGGGAGAGATAGATTTATATATATTAAATTAAATTATATATTAAAAATACTAGAAATACTAGAAGTGCTAGAAATACTAGAAGTACTAGAAGTATTAAAAGTATTAAAAATCGTATTTATTTATATAATAATACTAAAATACTAGAAACCCCCCTCTTTCGCTATAAATCAACTTATAATATCGTTATCGCTTACTAGGACCGCTAGCAGTAGTACTGCCCGCTATAAAAACGAAAACTCTAATAACGCCGTATTCGAATACAATATTAAATCGCAGGTCTAAAATATATACTAATTAATTAAATTATAATAATAGGGGTTAGAGGGTATACTTACTATAATTTAACTATATTACTAATACTACATGTTCAGTTTTAAGGAAGTTTTTAATACCGTCCCTAAATACTGTATAGAGGTCGTAACTAAACCCCAGCCTCGTAAACTACTCTACCGACTACTCTCTAAACGTAAATATATTGGGCGGCGCCTCCTTATTCCGAAACTCATTCCTTAAAGCAATTAGAATTCTATATACTAGTACTATTTTAATTAATAACCTAATATAGTAACGCTTATAGAACGCTTTAAAGAACTTAGTAATAATCTTTTTAACCGGCCGATTAAACGGGGCGGAGAGTAGTAATAACGAACGAAGACCAAAAATTAAAGGTACGGACGGACGTAGCATAAATAATTCTCCGGCCTCTATTAAGGAATTTCTAGTCTCCTCGCCCTCATCCTCCTCGCCCGCTACCAATAATAGTACAATTAACAGCGGTGCTAATAGTTAAATAAATACTATAGTTACTATAGAGATAGGAGGAGGGTTGGCGTTAGTACGCCTAGTAATAAAAGTCTCGCAGTCGGTCAGGTACCTATAGAACATAGTAGTAAAATATTCTAATAGCGTATATAAATCGATAATTACCACTTTACCCAGTGGGGGGAAAGCGCCCGCTATATTATAATTATAGCCGCTAGCGATTGCCGAATTAGCGATAAAGCCGCCGGTAGTATAAAGTAACTAAACTTAGGAATATTAAAAATAAGGAGGGAAATATTAGTATAATAACGGGTATAACAGATATAAGGGGGGAGGGTATAACTAGTATAAACTTCTAAAATCGTCCCTCCTTAGCGTAGCTTATAGTAGACTATTTATAATCTCTATATTAGTATTATTATTACTACTATTAATATTATTAACAATATTAATATTAATTAATAAATTATTACCTCCTCCCTTATATTTACTACTACTATCGCCAATACTAAAGGCAGCTACTACCTTATTACTCAATATATTTCGTACCAATTTAAATAGCAAATTAATTATTATAACCTTCCCTAATAATATAGTACATACCCACTTACCCACATTTTTAACATTAAAATTATAATAAATCATACTCCCATCTATAACATAACACATCTAATACTTAATAGCCTTATTATAATTCTTACACTTATAGCCAAGACTATACGCCTATACCTATACTAACTCCTAATATATAGTACCGTATAATTTCACCCCCGTACGCTCCTTTTACTACCAGTCCTCCTCTAAATTCTTTTTAACTTCTACTAATATAATATTTATTATAATATATTTAGATTTCTCAGTACCAATTAAAATCTATAACCCTTATAATAATAGTATATTAACTACTCATAGGGTTAAAGTAATAAAAGGATTAATTAAACTACGAAAGGGGGTAGGAATAGAGGGTATACTACTATAGGAGGATAGAGTAGCAAGGATTTTATTAGCGGGCAGGTCGGTCAACCAAAATTTAAACAATATAGTAAAATAATAGTACTAACTAATATAGTAGAAGTACAACTTTATAATAATCTCATACTTAATATTATTATACTTATTATAAAAATCCTTCCCGAGAACAATCTTATTATATATAATAACCCAGGCACAACAATTATTATAAATAGTAGTAATATATATAATATTATATAAAAAAATTAATTATTTTATCCCTACAGCTACATTATCACTAATAATATCTTCTATATAACCTTACTATATATATAGGATTTTACTAAATAATATCATCCTAAACCGCTACTTACAGAACTCGCTATTATTTTACTTAACTTTAACCTCTTTAAATAAACTACGTTCTTCGATAGTAAGTAATTTAATACGGCTAGCAATAATATATAAACCAACTATATTAAATTAGACTTATATTAAATAAGGGTATTTAGAACGTAGCGGCAGTAGTACTATAACGACCAACTTATAAGTAGCGCAGGGCTAAACCGGTAGTACTAAAGCAATTAATTTAATTAGGGAGGCTACTTTACTATTGTCGTCGCCCAATAAATAAAATAAAGTATCGAGAGCCCGCTTCTTAGGGGTAAGGCGGATAGGGAGCTATTATTCAACCTCATTATTATTACTAAAGTCCTCTTCGTTACTAGAAATCTCAACGGGTATTACAGGCTTAAGGGGGGATAATAATAATTCTAGGACTAAGATTAGGATTAGCTTTAATTCTAGCACAATAGCCTTCCCCTTCTTAACGGCGGTCTTAACGGCGGTCTTCTTAACGACAATTTTAATAATAATCTTAATAGGAATAACCTTCTTCTTAGGTAAAACAATTTTAAAGATAACTTCAATAGACTACTCGGTTTTACGGCTCTTCTTTCTAGGGTGGAATAAAGCGTATTATAGAATTATTAAACTAGGATCTTCCTAATCTTAATCTTCATCGAAGTAGACTACTAGCGCGCCACTTCGAATATAGGATCGTTTTACACCGGCGGGCTTTAAATTAAGGATTATCTTAGGAAATATTATCACAATAGATTTAATTAATTACTAGTATTATAATTACTTTGCACGTTAAAATAGCTTCAAATTAATGTAGAAATTATTGTAAAATAATAAATTTTAACGAAGTTGTGCAATACAGAAGTGCGGTGTGTGTGTGTGTGTGCACGCACACACACCTCTTGCCAAGACTGCACAGGCGATTGAGTGTGGGAACGGTTTGAAGCACGTCATAGCCACGCATTGGGTGATTGCCACTAACAAAATCCTGAAAGTGATACTTTGGCTGGGAACGACAATAAAAATTAGGATTTCGGAGTTTGGACATTGCATCAGAATTCTTTCGTCATTCAAAGAGCAATCCAGCATTGACTAAAATGAAGAGCGCAATGGTCTATTCATCGCTGGTAGCTGCCATCATAAAATCCAATCCCTAGAGAGTATATCTATGGGTATACCATAAGCAGTCGCTAAATATCCAAATCCATCTGCGTACATGCTTTTCTTTCTAAACGTCAACCATGTTCAAGAATGCCAAGGAACTGCTTCCGTGCCAGTTTTTCCATCTGGCGTATATCGAGGTAATTGGTCCGTCTTTTCCCCGTCTATGTCATGAACTTCGAGCTGTTCAATAAACCTGTTCGTTGCCTTTCTTGATCCGATAAGGATATGCGATGCTTTTTCGAACAGCTTTATCATCATTACCACTCCGGACATATATATGCCTATGGCTTGGGTCGGAGGAACGGATGTGCTTCAGTGTTGAACACGTATTCGTCTAGGTTGATAATGCTGGGGGGTGAGAAAATCAAGTAAAAGTACTTGAGAGTCTCGGCCAGCCAGAAGCTCTGTAGGAGGAAGCACGTTAGTTGATGTTACTAAGAATCTTCGCTGGGAACAGTCCGCTTACCTCCATCGAGTCGGTCTTCGTCGTCGGACCCTTGACCGTGACATCAGAAATAGCCGAGTAAGCCAGCTCGGTCTCTGTGGCATTCACAATGCTTTCAAACATCTGCCATGCCAGGTCTCTCAGATCTTCCTTGCCCGTCATGCGGTACAAGAGGAAGATACTCTCAATGGCCTCGGGCCGCAAGATATACCGGGTGTCTCGCGCGCTGGCAAATCCCTTTTTGAGATTCTTGCTGCCTTCCGCCTTCCACCTCTCCTCGTTCCACGGGCAGGGAGCATCCCAGGAGCCACCGCAGGGTACCATGTTGAAGATCTCGGGCATGACGCCAGTAGGGAAGGCATCATATGCCCATCCACAACCGCGGGCCAGGCGCTCACCAATCTCAACGTGCTCGTTGATGTCGAACAGTTTACCGCCGAGGCCAAACATGCCGCCGGTGAAGCAGGTTAGGTGCTGGCCCTCGGCTACCCTGTCGATCCGGTCGGGTTTGGCAAAGGCATCGCCCACAAACAAGATGTCGTGTTTCGAGGCTTCCTCGGCAGGTAGCATGGGCCGGAAGAGCATGTATTTTGTAACGACATCCATGGCGGCCCGGTGCATTTTCTCGTATTGTGGCGAAAGTCCGCCCAGGAGGGCATGCATCTTGGGCAGATACTCATATAGAGAGTCGGCGAGCGCGCCGAGAGTGAAGCCGCTTTCGCCATCAACGCGCTCTTCGCGGAAGTTGATCAGCTTGGGCCACATGCCGGGTATCTTGGACTCGTTTTGGGTGCGCTCGAGAAAGTCGGTGATGCGGGTGATGGCGTCAAAGTATCGTTGATCGCCCGTCAGCTGGGTGAGGCGGGTGAACTCGAGCGACAAGGAGCAGGGAGAGGCCGAGGGATCGTTTGTGCCGGCCACTTGCACGCCGCGCTTCGCATCCTCAAAGTTGAGCCAGAAGCCGGGCATGCGGTTCGGGGTGTCGAAGCCCATGTAAAGCATGTTTCCCAGCTCCGTCGCCTTGTCCAGCAGGGCCTGCTCGCCGCTCAGATCGTAGGCGCTGAGAAGGCCGCCGAGGTGGCGGATGGTGGTCTCAAACATGTTGGCGGCGGTTTCGGTGGTGTTTTGCCAGTCCAGCTGGGCAGCAGCGTTGGCGGCGAGGTAGAAGTCCTCCCACAGCTCCATGATCCATAGCGTGTCGAGCGCATCGACGAGCGTAGCTCCCCAGCCGCCAAACGTGGTCTTGCCCACGCCGCTCACAGGGGCGAGCTCGTCGCGAAGCCATGCGTGCTCCTTGTAGCTGTTCCAGCTGCGCTCGAAGACGGCGCGAACGGCCTTTTGTCGGTTTCGTGTAACGGGGTCGTGGACGTAGTGGGAGAAGTCGTGCTGGACGGGCTTCTGCGGCTTGGGAGCGCCGGTGGGTAGCTTGTGCTTGAGCTCGACGGGGAAGTGTTGCTCGACCTTTGTCCAGTCGAAGCTGCTCGGCTTGAAGGTGACCTTGCGCCGGCTGCTTGGTGACGGTTGTAACAGGACTGGCTCGGCCAGCGGAGGGCTGCCGTGTGGTCGCGACGCTGTGGGGAGGATCTCGGGGGAATCGAAGGGGCGGACGAGGAAGAAAACGAGGAGGACACAGGCGACGCCGGCGACGAGGCGCAAATGTCGTGAACTGGCCATTTTCCTGCGAAAAAGCCGGAGTCTGGAAAAGAAGGAGAAAGAATAATCGGCCGAGGAATTCATGTCCCCTCGATGCGTATAAGTGATGGGAGGGGCAACTGGACCATGCTAGCAACACCAATGATTACTGTACACAAGTGAGATGGAAGAAGAGTGGTTCACTTGTGACAGTCAATCAATCAGTGAGGATGAAGCTGCCACGGTCGCGACACGCATCGCTCGCTTCCATTTCCAGGCTGCCCGAATTGGACGATTGCCCACTAAGGCGGTCGAGATCGTCATTGGCGGGGGGAGGGGGGGGGCTCGCCAGCGATGGAGGTGTCAGTCCCTTCCCTTTCAGGGCATCAGACACTGGCTGTCGCCTCCACTGCTGCCCGTGCCGTCAACCACCTAAAACAGGGCGCGCTTGACGCTGTGCCGCTGACAGCGGAGGGGAGGTCACTGGTGACTCGCCAGGGGAAGGTTTCAAAGCCTCCAAGGGTCTTGCCGGCACTGCAACCTCCGCTGCGTTGGCGTGCATTCAGGGGAAGCGGGAAGCAAGTGGGGGGAGTGGAGCAGCAAGGAGAAAATGCCCAATCAGGTTCCCAAATTTACCGCGCGTCAGGCTGGGCCTCCCCTGTGCATAAAGCTTATACACACAGTAAAGAATGCATAAGTGCGCCCGGTGCGCCACTTCGACATGGACATTTTCCACCTCCCCCAACATCGCCTTCTTTCGTTCTACGGCATCACTCTGGCCATGTGCCCTGTCGTCGGATGTCAACATGCGTCTTTGCAGGTTAACCGTCTCCTTGGATCCCAGTACGACTTGGGAAACGAGTTCGACATAAACACAAAATTCATTGAAGCACCTACCGGCTCCAGCGTCAAAACCATCAACCCTTCGTAGGTAGACGACGGTGAGTTCCCGCGGCTGTCAGTTTGATCTTGATACATATAGACTGTGCTAGCTCGCTGCCTAGCGTAGCCAAGACCCTTCAGTCACAACGGGGCTTTCTCCAAGGCCCAGACTACCAGCCACCATCTCTCCATGATTGGGAGAGGATCAGGCTCGGCCAGCAACCTCTCTCTAGAACGGAAAAAGAATAAGCGCTAAACAAAGGATTCCACGGGAAGTGATATGACTGGGTAGCATGACGGGATCGTCGCCAACAGACTAACTTCGATACTACCTACCTTATGAGGCGGCTGCGTCCGTTCTCTGCCGCATCTCTCTGCCACATCTTCTCGTCTCCTTCTCGCTCTTCATTTTTTTTCCTCTTGTTTTGGGCAGTGCTCCCTAGGTAGCCTTTGGTGGCCGTGTCTCTATGTTGTTGGCGAAGCAATGCTGTTCATGACCTCACGCCTCGTGCTTGCCCTCGGGGCCGCAAGTGTCCTGGCGGCCGACTGTCCTTCGCCTCTGTCTTTTCCCATCACGACCAAGCAGATCGATCCAAAAGTCCCCGACTCGTTTATGAGAGGTATTGCCGTGACGATCGGCACTCCTGAACAAACCATACTAGTGAATGCCTGGCCGTAAGTCCTCTGGGACCAGATGAGACCAGAATGGGTGTTGGTTCTGACGTTGTGACCTCTAGGGATCTCAACAACACTTACATATACGATCAGCAGATGCTCTGTGACCCGAGCATCATATGGAACGATGAGATCTGCTTTGTCCGAAGGGGAGGTATTTACCACGAAGAGGACTCGACATCCTTTACAAAGTACAATGATTTCGCCTCAGCCGGCGGGGCCACCAACGAGATCACCACCACGGGCACTGAACTTGGTGTGAAGAAGCTCCTTACATCCTCGCTTGCGGGTGTCGAGAAACTTTCGGTTGGCGGCTCCGACTCTTCCTCCGTCACCATGCCGATTGGCATCCCAAGGCTAAGATGGGACGGTGGCTACACCATCCTTCATGCGCTCGGACTGGGAGCCAATTCGACCTACCTCAACGCCCTTAGCCAGAGCAACAAAATCCCGTCAAGGGTGTGGTCTTATTTCTGGGGTCGCCAATGGGGCAACGGCGCGCCCCTGGATGGGTCAATTGTATTCGGCGGCTACGACGAGGAGAAAATCATTGGAAGGAATTATACGCAGTCACTTGACTACAGTGAGTCGACGGGATGTTGGACGGGTATGAAGGTCACGATATCTGATCTCGTACTCAACTACCGGAATGGAGATGACGAGAGCATCATGCCGCGTAACTCGGCCATTCCGGTTTGCATTGTACCGCAAAGACAGTTACTCTTGGAGGCTCCCGGATTTGTCGTCGATAACTTTGAAAAGGCAACCGGCATGGTCAAAAATGGCGAATCTTTCGGGCTCTACTGGGGCAGCCAGGTATACAACAACACAGCTAATCCATCGTGAGTAACACGTAAACACCCCATTTCCGAACTACATCAACTAATACAACCTTTCAGATACTACGACGGGGACCTTACCATAGCGCTATCAAACGGACTCAGTATCCGGATTCCCAACAGCCAGCTTTTAGTCCCGTCCGAGGAGATTGCTCGCAACGGATCCTTCGTCACCACTCCCGACCGCATGGAACTGCCCATCAACCGCCTGGGAACTCAACCCGCTACCCTCGGCCGCTTCTTCTTCACCTCGGCTTATCTCATGGTAGATCACGAGGCCGACACCTTCACCTTGTGGCAAGCCAACCCCGCATCCAAAAGCAACCTCGTCACCATCAACCATGCCAAAGACTCCTGCGCAAGCGAGCCTATTTCTACAGATGGTGGTGCTTCTAATAGTACATCCGGCAGTGCCGACAACGCGGGAGCTGGATCTGGATCTGGAAGAGACGGATCCGGGGACAACGGCGCTCCGGTAAACCTCAACATCGCCGCTATTGCCGGAGGAGTGGCAGGCGGTGTTGCCGCCCTGGCCCTGATCGGTGCCGTGGCCTTCTTCCTCGTGCGACGACGACGGAGGGCCAGCAATGCTCAGCCCGACAAGAGCCCCGGAGACATGACAGACGGACCTGCATTCTATGCAGATGGGCATCGCCTCGCAGTAGGTGAACTGGAAACTCAGTATCAGCCGAGCGTTGGCGAGTTACCGGCACCGCCAAACTACAAGTATCCTACCGTCGGAGTGCAACAATATAACCCCAACACAACACAAACACAACAGCCTCATTATTACGGAGAGTACTATAACAAGCCTGCAGAGGTGGAAGCGGGTTGGGCTTATGAGATGGACGGCAGTAATAGACCCGGGCCGCCCGCGGAGCTTTCCGGTGGCACTCCACGGTTGTCTTAGGTAGAGAGGACGGGAGAATGAGGAAGTGCCTTCACGCAGCGACGACGAACATCAATAATGCATAATATTCTACATGTACATATTCTTTTTGGCGAAGATACCCATATAGCATGCGACTTTGATTTAGGAAGATTTTCGAGATTGGCATTTGCATATGTCACTTCACTTCAGCCTTTGGCTTCACCTTGGTTATCAAGCTGAACATGAATTGATATACGGAACAGCCCTTTTCCCAAACCGTGTCCTCTACCACCAAGCAACTAGAGAGACCCATCCAAAACGGAACCACGACCTGTTCTATTCTCAGTGCTGACTGACCTTCAGCGGTAAAGGAAACCAATGACAGACATTCGGTGGGTGGCAGTACCGTTCTTCGAGCGGTCATCCGCAGCCAATCGAGTCCCTTTTATGGCACTCTCCGGCACTGGGATGTCAGCCGAGCTCAACATTGTCCGAGGCCCCGCCATCGTGCATCTCAAGATCTGAGCATATGTGAGTGTACCGATCTTATTTTGTTTATTCTGAAATACTGCTTCCCGCGGAAAGCTCTACTTGAAACTCTGCTGAACAGTTAGCTTATAAGGGTGGATGGGGATGATGAGTTTCACTTGTTAGTACCTACCCATTCATAGATATTAGAAGGAAAAATGCTGTGCCATGTATCATAGGACCCTACGACCCCTCTGTGGACTCGTATCTGTATTCAGTTGAGATGACGTTGGACCAGTCTGGCACAACCCTAGGTACACTACGCCTCTTCACCCCACCCATTCACATTCGACTTTCGTGCCTCAGCTATATCACGAAGAACTATAACTCTCTCCTCCTATATCCTCCCACCCTCGACCACCGTTCTTTCCAGATCTGACGGTGCCTTTCCAGTTTCTTTCCCCTCTTTACCTACCTACCCACCATCAGTCAGTCAGTCCCTCATTCCGGAATCCATGTTGAATAACCGGGCAGCCTCATCCCAAAATCCATACCTACCCAGAGGTAACAACCAAAATGTCACGAACATCACAAACACTCACAAACACGGACCTAGCCTTCCTCCTCTGCACCCTAGCCACCACATCTCCCCAGTCCCAGTCCCAGTCTCAATTTCCAAAAGTCACCCTTTCCTTCGAAACCAACTATGGCCTCTTACTTTCCCTTGAGCCAGACGGATCCATCACCATCAGTCTCCGCAACCAACCTGATTCGGACCAGTGCCCGTTCGACAGTGCCACGCCCATCCAGTCCCAGCAGCAGCTATTTACCGCTCCTGTTTCCCACGGACACGGAAGCATAGACGGGGTGTTGTTCAGCAGCCCGTTACTTGGAGCCTTTGGGATGATGATGACGACAGGAACGGGTGGAGCAAGCATTACGCCTGCTAGGAGTACTCCTTCTATCTCTAGGTTACAGCCCGTGTCGGCGACGATGACGCAGCCATCGAAGCAGCAAAGTCCACAGCAAGACATGCTCATGGCAGCAAATCAGGCCGGCATTTCAAACTCATCAAGCATAAAAATCAGATATTACATCCGCCCCTCCGGTCTAGAGGTCAATAGTCCAAGTTCTTCGCACATGTATTATACTGCTTCCGCTTCTACACAGAGGCAAGCACCCCACAACCCAGCTAGCAACGACAACACCAAACTCCGCCCACGTGCACTGCTCCACCGCGTCAAACTCTCCCACTTACAATCCCTCTACCACACACACCTCCCCTCCAGCCCCTTCAGGACAGGTACAGGCAGTACTTCAAGGAAAAGTACCACTTCCAGTTCCTGGTTCGACGCCTACCTAGATTGGATAGATCGATTGGACGATGCACTTTCCCTTCAACGTTCCCGCCAACATGAACAACCGCATCGCCCACAACCGCCACAACCCCCACAGATAGTACGGATAGCAACATCTCTACCATCCCATGTGCACCCCACAACTCGTTCTGCAGCTCCGAGGCAGATGACGAGTGAAGCTCATGGACAGACAAGCGGAACCATGATGAATCATGGAGGGCCCTTTACAGACTCGGGAGAAAGATCCCTCTGGCTAGTGGAGGGCATGCTTCTTGCCAGCTGGTTATCGTTACAAGAGGGGGTGGAGGGGGTGGAGTATTTGCCGCTGCCGCACATGTCTGCTGAAACTGAAAGGGAAAGCGGTATGGAGGGTTACGTGTACCGGTTGGAAAACTTGCAGGGGATGGAGAAGGGGAAACATGCAAATAGTGCTGGGGTGATGATGAAGAGGTTGTTGATGGAGGTTGTTCGAGCTGGGGACATGGAGTGATGTGGAAGGGAGGACAGGACGTGAAGGGGGTGGTGTTTCTGAGTCGTGCTAAGGGTCGTACCGTTCCTTCTGACCTCTCTTGTTGATCGCTACATTGATGAAAGTCCTGTCCAGTTGTTGAAGACAGGTACCATACTGCAGAAATCCAGATGGCATCTGGCCCCGAGAGTGTTGTCTGGCCCAGATGGATCGTCTGGGTATGATCTTTTGTTGCTTGTCCCCCGCCTCCGCCTCCTTGTTTCTGTTCCCTATCAAGCGCAGCTCGAAGCCGCGCAAGGCGTACCAGGCCAGCGCCACTTACACATGAAGGACACCAAACTCAATGTTGCCCAATGCCGGTCCTTCCGGTTTTGTTCTTCCATTCCATGACCATACACGACTCGACGACGCCATGGACAGTGAGGAGAGACTTGTCCCTATGCTCATCCCCCCGCTCATACCTCTTCTTCTTCTTGTACCACCTCTTAAGCTTCCGACAAGTTGCAAATTGGAATTTGCACCTGGATTGTCTTGTCGAGTAGGACTATGTAAAATGGCGTCTCGGTTCGGGGCTTGTTCTCCTGGTCCTTGATGAAAACCAGCCGGGGTTCCTCGGACTGTCGGTTTTCTACGGCCCCGTCCTTCAAATATAGTCGGCCACCTCCTTCTCCACCATGCCGAGCTCTTCATTTGGTATCCATTCTCAGCCGATGGACTCGGGTCGAAATCAAGGTCGTTGTCGAGACCATGGGCACGCCGGTAGTACCGGTTAAAGATGGACCACAAGATCACGCAAAGACCACCAGTTGCCAAGGTGGAGAGGCCTATTTCGAACGGTTAGTCTCGCCTGTCGTGGTGGATAAACGAAGACTAGAGCCGGGAGAATGCAAGGTATACTTACCGAAAACTTCGGCGAGGGGTGAGCGGCGCCATCTGTCCGGAAGCCCGTCTACATTTAGGGCCAATAGCCCAACAACAAATGATAGAGGGGCCTTTTGGTTTATGTCTGTCAGCTTTCTAGAACAACGTGAAGCACGAAAAGGAGATTATGTGGGGCTTACAAATAGAACAGTCACTGCAGTGAAAACGAAGAGCATGGTCGATTGCTCACCCATGGACAGAGCGTCCTCGAGCGTTGCTTCTCGTTGACGCAAGTCCAGCAAGGTAGTAACCTGCACAGCCGGCACGCTTAGTTTTCGGGCATGAACTACATTAATTCAATGTACGTACCATGGACCGGACACGTTTCGCTTCATCCTCGAGCATATCAAACCGTGCCAAGATCTCTCCCTCGTGTACTTTGGCAACTTTGTTAGGGTTCTTGCCTCGGACCTCATTTTGGAATCGATCAAAGATCTTGATCTGATTTGACAAGATTCGTTTGATCATCCCGATCTCGCCAATGGTATCATCGATGTCGATGAGGATGGCCGTTTCGTTCTGTGTGTCTTGGTAGAACTTGTTTGGGTCTTTGCTAATCGAGCCCATTCCCCTTTTCAACCTATCAAAGCGCTGTGTGACTTGGAAGTACTGTGTGGTGATCACATAAAACGTTAGAATCGTTGAGCACGACAACGGCGGGGAAGTAAGCAAGTAATGTGCATCAAGCGAAGGGGACCTACAAGCTGAGCGATTGAGGCCGAAAAGGCTTCTGTATACGGAAGCATCACCCTTCTGAGCTCTCCACCGTTACATTCGTCATCCTCATCGAAGATGGCATCCGGATTGATGGACGGGACAAGCGCCTTTGCCTCGAAAGACATGCACGCTTTCAGAACAGCCTTGGTTACAAGGTCTATGTCCAGGTCCTCGCCGCTGTTGTCATGAGTTTTGTTGTGAATGTGTCGGTCATCACTGACACTGTCCAGAATATGACGCTGCAGTTGTTGTTCGTTCCCCATGTCCCACCTCTCCGGGTAGAGAGTTACTATTGTGTCTAGAGATGTGGAACTAATGGTTAGAGAAGCAATGGCTAATGGTATCTGCTCAGGTGATACTTACCTGTGTCGAGTTTGAAGAGCCAGAAATACGGAACAGTCAAAAAGTCATCTGACTCTTTTAAAGATATTGGTTCAGACGCAAACACATGTCCCGGGCCACCGTTGACCGCGTTTCCCTGATCCCCAGTGTCCGCAGATTCCTTCACAAAAGCACCGAGGGTGCCAGGCGTTGCAGGCTTTGGCGTGGCTGGGCCTGCCCGATGTTCAGTTTGGCCGGGAGATTGGTGGGTTACATTAGCAGGGCCCGATCCGGATAACATGACTGGATTCCCAGATTGTGCTAGCTTCTTCTGGTCACTCGCTTCAACGTGCAGAGACTCGAAAAGCCTCATCGCATCCTCTGGAGACATGCTTGTATCGGTGTCTGAGCGTTGAAGCGAAAACTGGCGCGGCTGTGATGTTGTCGAAGCACCAGTGTAGGTTCTTCGTGGGCTGTGAGGAGGTCGCGGTGCTTCGAAAGATGTCTGTTCCAATGGCTGTGGTCCTTGTTCCATCGGGATATGACTGGTCGTATTGTCTTGTGCCGGAGTTCTGTCATTTTCTGATGATCCTACTCGGGTGCTAGTCGGTTGCTGGCGCTGGTCGGGTTCATTTTGAGGCGCTGGCTCAGTGTCTTCGTACTGAGCATGAGCTCTTGTCTTTTCGCCAAGATCCGCCGAGTCAAGGCCAGCCGAATATCCCATTTCTTTGGCACCCCGCGAGCATCTGGCCTTCAGATATCTGATGTACCGTACGATGACCTGGTCGTTATTGAGAAATTCCAGTTTATCGTTGTCCAAGTCGTCATGATAGGATTGGTCGAGGCAACGAGGCAGCGGTTGGCCCATGAAGCCCACTGCCTTGAGCATATAGCCAAAGTGCTTCTTTGCACGGTCACCAAGATACAACTTTGTTTCTTGCCTCGGCTTCGCTTTCTTCGTCGCTTGTTCTTGAGCTGCGCGCGCCACAGAAACGTAATCTTTCTTGTCGACATCGACCACAGGAAGCTACAGCAGCAATGCGATCAAAATATGTGCGCGCAAAGGTCAATATGAGTATATGCAACTTACAGCCATCGCATAAATGCTTCCGGATTTAGATGGCCCTTCGTCGGAGTCGGGTTGACCGCTATGCTTCAAGCTCTTGAACTACAAAACGTCAGATACCTCGACATGGAAACGTCTGAACAAGTATGATAGGATACACATGCCTTGAAGTGTACTTTCCCCTCTGGACCTGTCACATCAACCTGTTTGAACATGTCGATGACAAGCTTTTCCACTCTCTGATATGACTGTAGATCGCGTCCTGAAGCAGTGTAAATCCTCTTTGCAAGGTCAAGAAGTAGTTCCCTGCTGGCAATTGGCAAATGGATCCATTTCTTCTTGTCCACCGTTGTTTGTTGGCGAATGCTAAACCGCCTACAAAGATCTTCATATCGACCGGCTTCGTACACCAACTCCCAAACCGGAAGTATACGAAATCTAGTAGATAGGTCGGGTACCCAGAGGCTGCCTTGGAAATAACGACACACTTCCTCTCGGGCACCATTAGGAGGTGTTGGTCCTGTGTCGAACGCAGCCCTGTTTCTCCAGTTGTTGGTAGCGGCATACTGGTCGCTGCTATGGACAATAGGGGGATTGTCGAACTTTGCTTTTGTGTCAGTTGACGCGTAGAACGATGGCAGGTGGCCGTTCCCATCAACAAGCTGAGCATTTGCTCCCCTCTCCAAGAGGTAGGATACGCAATCAGCATGATTATGAATGGTTGCGAAGTGTAGAGCAGTACGGCCATGGATGTCGGTGGCATCGAGGCTCACACCTTTTTGATCCAGGAGAAAGCGCAGGATAAGGTCTCGGCCCAGCTCGGCAGCCGCATGAAGCGGAGTTCGCCCTCTCTTGTCTTTGGGACGAAGAGCGGCATGTTGCTGATATAACTCAATGACGCGGTAATAGTCGTTTTGGGTGATGGCTTGGCGAATATCCACTGCCGCCTGGAGACGTCGCTTGTTTTCCTCCTCCACTTTTTCAAGATAGCTATTGAAAGACAGCGTCCGTGTCGGGGATAGCATGTTCTTGTCCTCGTCTGAACGTCTGGGAGCTTGAGGCTGTTGACGTTTCCCACCGGATCGGAAGAATTCCTTGAGCCGCTTCAACTTTTGCGAGGTCTCTTGTTTGCGTGGAGGTCCCATCTTGCGTGTCGAGCGGGTGCAGAGCCCAGTATGTCGTGATATTGAGAGGGTAGGGGCAACGTGCACCGAACATGTTGCGTTTGAAGACAGTACCGAAGGAAGAGAATGTGGGTGTTTTGTGTTCCCGGGGCTCAGTAATCAGTATCGATCACATGTCGGATTCCTTCAGCCCGGGCGCTGTTGGGCAAAGGACGAACAGCTGGAGCGGATGTAATGTTTGTGTCCATTCAATGAGTGGGCCTTCACCTCGCCATGCATTAGCCCCTCGGGCTGGGTCGAATTCTACATGGCTTTGTTGATACGGATAGGTGAAGCAGCCAACGACATACGCCAACAGGTAAGCACTGCTTGTGAGGTAGTACAATCTGAGCGCAGAAGTTCCCAATAAGGCTGAGCTGGATGAAGATCGGGCCTGGAAGGATTCGGCTGTCATGTGTCGGTCTAGTTGGCAGCCAGCTCATGAATAACACGCCCAATGCGACAGACTCTGCATCAGCCCAACCGGAGAGAGTCACCGAGCTCATTTGTCGAGAAGGTGGCGATGAAAGGTGACATGTTATGTAGACGTGAAATTGTTGGCTAGGGGCTTGACGGTCATGTTGAGAAGCCTCACTTGCAACATGTCCACTTTGCAACTTGGTCGGCGTCGTCGAGGGAGAGTTGTCGGACAAGACTTTGGCGGGTGCGGGGCGTCCCGCTCCGAGCTGTGGTATGCGGGGGTGTCTTGTGGAGGTAGGGATCATGATGTTTGTTGGTGATCTAACGTTTAGACTATTGATTAGCACCGGATACAGATAAGCTCTTAGCCGATGCTGTGCCTGGGTACCTGAACAAGACCACGCACCCCTGCACCAATGGTTCCGCGCAAATGCAAAATTCAACGAGGTTGGTGACCTCGCTCCTGACAGTGGTAGACTCTGACGCGCTGGTAACTTTGAAATGACAGAGCAGTCAAGATGTTGGCATCACGAATAGCTCAATGGGATGTGTTGATGGTGTTCCCTGGGCACTCGCCCACTCTCTCGTGTGGTGGAAGTGGGAATGTTCCGAGTATTTTCACCAAGCGTGTCGGGCATTGCGAAAACTTAGACATCATGGCGACCGAGGGCGAAAAGGCATCTCGAAGGCCCGGAAACAGGTGGAGGAAATGAGGCGCGAGGTCAACATGGGCGACTTGGTTAACTTTGGCGATGTCATCCAGTCCCAGCGAAACTTCCACATCGAGCATCCCGAGGAGAGGCCGCTGGCTATGTTGGCGACATGTGTTGGACATGACCGAGGATTGCCGGGCCAAGAACAAAAAAGACGAACAGCGGCCTGCAAACGCAAAGATGCCGCAACACCAGAAGCAGGAAGCAGGAGCAGGAGCAGGAGCAGGCCAAGACCAAGACCAGGACAGACGACCCGGGAGGAAAGAGTGATTTGTGCGTGTACGCTTCTTGTTCTTTGCTGTTCGTGTTTTGGTTTTTGATTTCATGGACGATTCCATTCTCAAGCCCACCCCATGTCGTCGCCGTCGAACCAACCAGCCTTCCCAGGTGATCTCATCGCACACATTCCACATGAAGCGCGCAGTGGCTTTCAATCTTCGGGGAATAGCGGGACCATTTGATCTCTAAGCCTACGATGCATAAGCACTCACTCATCTTTATCATGAACACCCTCGAGATCTGCACATGATTCCTTTTTTTTTTTTTTTTTTTTTTTTTTTTTTTTTTAAGGTATGCCTCTTTTCTCTTTATCGAACCTCAACGTCAATCAAGCTACAATACCTGCCTAGGTATGTACACTTTCCACTCGGTCATCCTAACGTAATGAGGGGATCTCTGTACGAATATTCTGAGAGTTCAGCACAAGTTTCAGAGCTTCTAGCTCGGCTACTGCACATGCCACGGCCCAATCGGATATCTGTGTAAGACTTCCCAGAACTACTTGGCCCCTCTAAGGTAGTATTCATGTAGACGCGAGTGTCAAGGTGGGCCTTGGCCGTGGGTCCGGCGCTTGAGTGGCGTGTTGAAAATAGGCCCGGCTGCCGGTGGGCGAAGAGAGGGGTCCCAAGGCAGACAATATTCGTTTTCATGCTAACCGCCGTCAAGATGAATGTTCATCTAGCCTCGCCGCCGTCAGGAAGCTCATAGTCTTTGCTTTGCTGCATCATCTTGTGCAAAAACTCCATGCTCACCATCGGAAGCCATTAAGGGGTTACTTTCTCTGATCAAAGTCCTTGTTTCAGCACCGAGAAACGAACATGGACATTTCTGCACCCCATTCTTTTCCAGGGACGTTGGATCGCTCAGGTAGCAAGCTTTGCAAGATCTGCTCGTCAATCCCAGTGTCATTCTGGTCCGATAAATCCAGGAACATACAACTCAGGCTACAGTCGTTGAAGTCGATGCGATTTGAAGCAGATAGAGGATGCCAGCTATGTGATATTCTGCAATTGGGCCCCGGTCGAGATGCGAATCGTCAATCAGAGGATCTCGAAGTTCTTCAGATGAGACGACCTCGTCACTATGACCCGTTTGGATTAATGAAGCCCTCCTCTTCGTTAACAATGATTGGGGATACAACACACCAATGGTACATGGACGATGTTGACCGCTATCCGCTGCATTTCGGCTTCTCCCTGGTTCCATATCCCTGGTGTAAGTTGCATGTCTGACCATGGTTAATTTAAACTTGGCTACTTCACTTTCTATTCCTTTCCTGGGAAGTTTTAGTATTGACAGCTCTTCTTTCTGCAGCCAAGTTGGAGCCTGTCAAAATGGGGGAACATGTGGAAAGCTTTCCCCTCATAGAGGTCTGGCTGGAAAATTGTCGAGACAACCATGCCCAATGCTCAAGTAATGTCGGGCACTTTTTACCTACCAGACTTCTCGACCTCCAAGCCTATTCCGACAGCGCCGATGTCCGCCTAGTGAATGCTGGCGAACTCGATTTTGACGGACCACCGCCAAAATATGTGACACTGAGTCACTGCTGGGGACCACCTTCGAAACACTCGATCACTACGACAAAGGCAAATTTAAGTGAACGCATGACGCGAATTCCCTTCAATGCGCTTTCGCAGACATTTCAAGACTCTATCAAAGTATCGCGCTCCCTACGGCAGAGATTTCTGTGGATCGATTCTCTTTGTATCATTCAAGACGATGAGGATGACTGGGCAAGGGAAGCCGCCTTGATGGCTTTGGTTTACAGCCATGGTTACTTCACACTCGCGGCTCTCAGCGCAAAGGATGGCACTGAAGGTTGCAAGATGGTCGCTGATATCCAGAGTTCCTACTCTAACCGCTTTGTTGATATTGACTTCTACGACTATGGGCTTGGTCAAGACAAAACGAGGTATCATCATCAGCGAGTTCGGATATTTGAAACTCCTGTCAACATCAACGAGCACGACGAGTCTATCAATGACGGGCCACTTAACGATCGCGCCTGGACGCTGCAAGAGAGAGAGCTGTCGAGAAGGGTGATCTCATTCTCCAAACAAGGGCTGCTTTGGGAGTGCACCGAACTCCGCGCAACTTCACAGCGGCCATGGATACATACACGGCTCGAAAGCAGTTTGTACGCTGATGCCGCAGATCAACTGTTCAAGAGCAAAGTATCCTGGAATCGCATCGTGGAGGATTATTCTGCACGGTCTCTGACGAAACAAACCGACAAGTTAATCGCGCTGTCCGGGTTAGCGCGAGTTGCGCAGGAATTCCATCCAGGCGCCACATATATTGCCGGATTGTGGAGTACGTCCCTCCCCAAAGCCCTTCTTTGGAAGGTTGTGCTGCAACCGTCCGAGCCTGAGTTTCCGTCTCAAACTGCGACTGAGTCTGCCTATATAGCCCCGACCTGGTCTTGGGCATCAGTCAGATCACCGGTCAGCTTCGGTGCGACCAGTACTCCGGGATTTGCTAGGCATAATCTCAAAGTTGAGGAGATTGTGAAAGTCCTCAAGTATCAGGACCCATATGGTGCGCTTGAACATGGAGCCCTTGTTCTGAGCGGTGCTCTGCTGGTTGGCGTTGATGTTAGCGATCAGATTCCACGCTCATATGCCTTTGCAGATGATCGAAGCCTGATGAGGGATGGCGTTGCAGTCGGGAACGTCCGCCTCGATGCACCGAGCATCTCTCATTTAGAGGTACTTACCTCTAGAGAAAGTCAGTGTAAACTCTGGTTCCTATTACTTGAGAAGTATAGAGATTTTCTTGGTATCGTTCTCAGAGAGGGAGTGGACCCCGACGATGGCTATACTCGAGTGGGAGCCGGTAGTATAGACGAGCAGTTTGAGGATATATTCTCTGATTGCAAGCCATGCACCATCACGCTGATATGAGCACACTTCATCAGAGGTACGTGGGAATAACGGCACATATCTATCACCCATTCGGATGCCAAGTCCATGTGCACAGTTTTGACTGGCTTTCAATGAACTAACGCTTCTCTTAGTAACAACCCCAGCACGTCGTCAGCCAGTTTCAGACTACCAAATTTATCATCGTTCATTGCATTTTGGGATGACTCTCACTGAAGTAGGTTGCCCTGTTGGGTCAGGCAAGATGGGGGGCCCGGTCAAGATCAGGACGATTTTGTAAAGGTATGAACCATCTGCATCGCTACAAATACTGCAGAGCTTCTGATAGCATAGAGGTAGTAACACTTTTCACGGAGGAGTGAAAGGTCGGTGCCATGGTTGCTGATAGGATACCTAGTTTTGCTGCTTTGGATTCTAGACGCCCTATTACCGGTCCGCGGCCCTTCCTACCTGCAGCATGTTTTCTTATTCGCGCCTGATCTTCTCCTCCTGTGGGAGCTGATGCGTATTGCAACGTTTGCCATGTCGCCCGTTTACTGTGTTTTCCCACCACTTCGGTATCCGGCACAAATTGCAGCCAATGCAATCCTTGAGTCAGTAATAGCCCATCGTCGCGTTACATGAAAGTACCTGACGATTAACGCCAAGTTTTAGCTTTAGCTGCATGACTGCGTGGTTGCTGTTGCTCGTGGAAGTACCCAATGCTCACTAGCAAGCAAGCACGAATGTGACCCTGGCCGAAGCACACAGTTCGAAAGGAAGGAGGTTACCTTGACACTTGACCGCTCCATGCACTAAATGACAGCCTCGGGACAGGATTCTTCTTCGAGGAGGGAGGGGTAACTAGGGTAGGTGACGAGAAATCTTTTAAGGCACTGGGTCGCTGGCACCCCAAGCACCAGTTGACTTTGGCCAACCTCTGCAGACCAATATTGCAACTCCTTCGATAGCGTATCCATCCGCGACAATGAGTTCCCCTCCCAGCAGGGCACAGTCACCAGCACCCGAGGCAAAGTCGCCAAATGGAAAGGAGAAGTCGCCCACACCCGGTCCCGCGTCCCCGACGGGAAACAAGTCGCCCACGCCTGCTCCCGCCATGTCACCCACGCCTGCTCCCGCCTCTCCAGTGGCCGATGAACCTTTGGAGCCTGGTGGCCTTTTGCCCGGTGCTCACTGGGGCCAGCAGGTTCGTTTCATCTTACCCATCTCTACCTTTATATCCTCTTCTCGGGCTCGATGAGGCCTTTGTCATGCAAAACACCCTCACGGTCGCTATTACACCTGCACAGACCCGACGTGTTATGCAGTGGCAGCATCTGCGTCCGACGACTCTTTGCTATTCCCCCTCCTCTTCTCTTGGTGACAGGGAGTCGAGCTAGATTGATCATCATCGGACGAAGCATCCATGATCACACAGATTCCATCAAATATCTTCACAATGGCGGATGCTAACAAAAATCTCATACACGTATAGGAGCTGCATGATGATCTTGACTCGACTCTGGGAAGTGACGCCGAAAGTTCGACCGCCTCCATCACTTCCAGCATTTTGCAGTACCGTAACTTCCTGGGGCGAACCTACCACAGCGATTCGGTGACTGACGGAGAGTATTGGTATGTCTGAACATGACTGGAAATCATGCACAAAGCGGGTGCTGTACCCGTTGATTTCTGATTCGAGAGCTAAACTAACTGCTCGACCATGTGCACCGGCACTCAGGGGCCCCAATGATGCCAAGGCAAATGAAACTTTGGATATCATCCACGAGGTTGTGGTAAAAATGTTCGATGGGAAACTGTACACGGCCCCGCTCAGGAAAGATATACAGACAGCCATAGACATTGGTACTGGCACTGGTAAGTTAACCAACCTGGACCGCCATCTTTACCCTTTACTCGAGCAACTTTACTGACCATCTTTACGTGCAGGAGTCTGGGCCATGTAAGACTACCTACCTTGCCAGATTCCAGTTCTGAGTCGATCTTTGATCACTGAAATCTTTCTTCACAGAGACTTCGCGGACGAACATCCTGATTGCACAGTTATTGGCACCGACATCTCCCCGATTCAACCTAGCTGGGTACCTCCAAACTGCAAGTTCGAGATTAATGACGCACACAAGGAGTGGACCTATGAAGAAAATTACTTTGACTTCATTCACATTCGCTGGCTTACTGGTACCATTAAGAATTGGCATGCCCTGTATAAGGAGGCGTACCGATGTGCGAAGCCCGGCGGTTGGATTGAACATCTTGACGCCGATTCGACGTGGTATTCTCTTGATGGAACGATGCCTGAAACGTGTGCTGTGGCCCAATGGGGTCAAATTTGGAAAAAGCTTGGGGGTTTTTTGGGAACTGAGTTCGACATAGCTTCTTCAAACCTCATGGTAGACGGAATGAGGGAGGCTGGGTTCACCAACATTACGTCTGAAATTCACTATGTAAGACATTTTTTTCATCCGTCCTGAAGCCCTTGAGACGAGTTGAAGCTAACCTCGAGATCTAGCTCCCCCTTGCACCCTGGTCTACCGACCCGAAGTTGAAGGAGTTGGGTCTCTACGCATCTGTGGCGGTGACACATGACATTGAGGGCTTCCTCACCTATCTCATGCCCACCTATCTTGGGTGGACCCAGAAGGACATCACGAACTACGCCGCTACTTTGCGCCGAGAATTCAGGGAAGCCAAGATTCATTTTAACGTCAAGTGGCGCTTGGTGAAGGCGCAAAAGCCGCTGGATGCTTAGGCAGTGTAAGTTGGATACCCACCTCTGCCTGGAAACCGACGAGGGATGTATAGATCTCGAACGAGGGCCGAAAATGTATTATGCCCGCTTATATATCTACCTGTGATTGACAATGTGGCCAGTTCCTTGGGTATATAGCAATTTGGATACATGCTCCTCCGTCATTTTCATATCTGTATATGCTCGATTTGAAATCTGTCGTTGAAGACCATGGATCCCCTTGCAACCTTATCTCCCTACCCGTCCTTCGCCCAGTCTAACGAACAAGGCTCATCGCTGTTACTTCAGCCTTACCCGTTTCATGCACCCAGAGGTACCTAGGGCCGGAAATAATGCTCGGCGAGTCGAACAAAGACCTGACGAGTAGGTACTGTACACCTCTGCATGGATATAACTTGTTAGCTTGGTACGTTGACTTTACAAGAAACAGGGATCGGATGGCAGCCAAGTGAGCCACTTCTTATGAGAAAATTAAGGTTCTTTGCCACTACCAAAAACCACGCTAACAAGTTATATCCATGCAGAGGTGTACCCGAGCTGAGCCGAGAAGAGGCTGGCACGTCAGCTCGTCCGAGACCAAAATAGATGAGACCAACCAACACGCAGGTTGGGTAACCCAGTCCGCTACCGCTCGTCAAGATTACCAAAAAAAAAAAAAAAAAAAAAAAAAAAAAAAAAAAAAAAAAAGAAAAAAGGCTGTTGCAAGACTGTGATAGGCATAACAACAATTCGAAAAGACATTAGCTAGGGTGTAACGAAAATCGCTCGGATGCGATGCGTATTAGGAGTATAGTATAGGTATCCAAGGTAAAATGTCAACCAAATGTCTCAACTATTTTGTCCAAGACGAGGAGGGGGGGCCAGTCAGGAGCTTTGCGCTAACAGACACTACTAGCAAATTCTTTGCTGGTATTGGTGTGGAGTTGTTAGTGCACGTTTGGATACAGTTAGGAGGACTTGTGCTAGGCGCTGTCATGCATAAAGGTGTATCTATCTGCATCTATGCATCGATGCTATCATATCGGATGAGCGGCATCCGTTTAGTCGAGACGTCTTCTCCCTCCTTCTCATGCCCGCTCGTCCCACTGGGAGAATCGACAAGTTGCGAGGTTCATCTTCTGGATAAGGTAAGTTCGAAATGTCAAGTATGGCTTGTTTAGTTGGGATAGAGGGCTGGGGCCACGAAGGTGAACAGCACTCTCACACCTCATTTGCCAAATGATGAACCGCTGAAGATATCCCTCTCCTCTTTGCCCGGCGTTGTCTTCTTATACATAGCGGCATAAAATAAAACTACAGGGATAACCTAGAAGCAAAAAAAGCAATTTCGGGACCGGGTAAGGCTCAAGGCACGTGTCCGGTCTGGGGTCGACCCTGTATAACAAATATGACGAGTCATTCGATGGTTTTGACTACAAGTTTTATATTTCCAAATTATTTTTTGAGAAGAAGAAGATGAAGCTTGTCGTAAAGTAGAGGTACCAGATTATCCAACCGCTCCTATCGTGGGAAATTACCTACTATCCAGCCTCGATCGGTGTTGTTGCCTACTACTAGCCGTACATCACTCCTAAGCATCCACTGGCTTTTGGCCATACACCTTGCGGAAGACAAAGTACCCATGAATGCTCATGTCCTTCATCTCCTTCTTCAAATGTCGGATGTAGATGCCGATCTCCTCCGTAGTCCACCCCATAACCTTGCCAAACATGAACTGGAGAACACCGTCAAGATCCTGGTTCATGACGGCATAGAAGTACAGACCAACGTCGTTCATCTTTTTGTCCTCGGACCATGGCGAGATAGGGACCTGCAGATATTCCGTAGTCAGCTTTTGTGGGATAAAGTAACAGACGCTGTTGGGGGGAAAGCGGAAGATGGAACGTACCTTGTAATCCTTCACCACAATATTCACGAACCCCGCCTCTTTCATTGCACTCTCCATCATGGCAGCGGGGATCAGAACCTGCCCAATCCTCTTGCCAGCCTCGTGCCATATGGGACCCCATTGGCCTAGAGCATGCACCTTTTCGTCGATGGAACCATCGTCCGAGTGGATCGTACCGTGGGTATCCATATGCTCAATGTAACCGCCCGGCTTGCAGCATCGGTAAGCATCCTTGTAGAAGGCAAGCCAGTCCTTGACGGTTCCGCTCAGCCAACGGACGTGGATGAAGTCGAAGAAGTCAGGCTTGTAGGTCCATTCCTTGTTGTAGTCGTCGATCTCGAAACGGATGTTGGGAGGAACCCAGCTGGGCTGGATGGGCGAGATGTCGGTGCCGATGACGTTGCAGTTGGGGAATGCATCGGCGAAGTCGATTGCCCAGAGGCCTACATGTTGGGTTAGTACCTCCACATGTATAAAGGACGACCACTAAAAGAAAAGTGTAGAAAGTCGGCGTACCTGTGCCTGTGCCGAGATCGATGGCATTCTCCATTTTTTTGGGAAGAGGGGCATCATAGAGCCTGCCATCCAAAAGAATGGTCATGGCATGATGGCTGAAGTGCAATATTGGGTCAGCTACAAGAACTCGCGAGGTGAACACAATGGTCTTGCACTCACAAGATATCCAGCAATTCGTTCTGCTTTTCGTCGTTGGGGCCCCTGTATCAAAATTCACAATGCTGGTTAGCGTTGGCTGTTTCTTTCTCCATACTCGTCCGAGTTGGATAGAAACGCCGTAAAGACCCAACGTAGAGGTCAAGACGAGCGATCCTCAGACAATGAGACTTACCAATACTCTGAATCCGTTATGCTGTCGCTATGATACGTTCTGCCGTTCATGGTACGGTACCTGAGGATGCTCGAACCGATCGAAGCAGTCGAGCTCTCGACATCGCTTCCAAGGGTCGAATCCGCATCATCTTCTTCCTCCTCGGGAAGTCCCTGTAGTATCGATGTGAGTGATCAGTTCCCATCATGATTGGGGCTTGTGAGCTTGTGGCCGGTCCGTACCTGTTCGGCCCAGTGAGATCCAGGAAGAGGGGCATTCGTTTCAGCAGTGGGGGTGGCAGGAGCAGGCGTACGTCCCCTCGCAACCGCTGGAGTGGCAGGAGCAGGCGTGCGTTCTTTTGCGGTAGCTGGCGTCGCAGGAACCGGCGTGGATTCTCTTGCAGCCGCTGGAGTGGCAGGAACAGGTGTTGATTCCCTTGCCCGGGCGACTGCTGGGGTGGCAGGAGCGGGCGTAGATTCTCTCGAAGCTGCTGTGGGCAGAATTAGAGCAGGAGCAGGCGTGGATTCCCTCGCAGCTGCTGAAGTTTCTGGAGCAGGCGTGGGTGACTTTGTTCGCGCCTTTTTCGCCGGAGAAGCCATGATGAAATCTTGGACCTTGGATACCTTGACCGTCACGCTGGCTGGAATTCGAGGTTTGGTCTGGTGAAAAAAGAAAAGTCGATGGACCGTCCAAGAAGGGAAATGGTTCGGGTGCCAGAGCCGTCGGGATTTATAGCATGAGCTACTTTAGGTGCCCAATTCACACCGTGCTGTCCAAAATGTAACATCGGGATTCGGAAACCATAACATCTACCACTCACCGCCTAAAATTCCACTTGGTGGTGTCCGGGGTATCCAGTTCAATGCCGGTTTGTTATTTAGCGCGGTGCTTGCGACTTCGGTCCGCAAGACAACACAGAGAAACAACGAGACAGCCACGTTCAAGGAAGCAATTGCTTGATTGAGAAAGTGGTGAAATGGTGATTGATTTGAGCAAAGTATGTAAGGTACTGATGAAGTCCGCGCTAACGAATGCTTCAGGGCAAGAATGTCGCAGTGTAGGGTACCAAAGTACCGATGCATCTCGCATTCAACACGGTGTGTGGTATGATTTTTGCTAGCGTCTCACCACGTGGAACGGTGGAACACGGTTGCTTTGAAATGATAGTATGTACCCAGACAATTTATCCCGCCCCAAGGTCGCCATACTGAACGTCGTGCATCATCCTCACGAGAAAATTCGTTGTTTCTTGCTTCTCTTGCCCTTTGACCGCCCTCGCTTCCTGCTCGCTACGAATTGTACCTTGCTGTTGGAGCGTCTTGGTAGAGCGGGAGGCCGGCACGTGGCCAGGTAAGGCTGAAAGGATCCCTTTACACACAATCTGGGGTCTACCTTGTTGAATAATTACGAGGCTCAAGGTAAAACCGGCGTCTGGAAGGATGATTGATCAGCTTCTATGTTTCCAGGTCCAAGTCATGACGATTTCCGACATGGGAGACTTTGCCTTTCCGTTTGGCGAAGCTGTCTCGGATGCCGACGACTATCGTGGTCAGGTGTCAATAAAACGGTGCTGACTGGTAGAACAACAACACCTAGCCGATCGAAGATGCATATGAGCTATGCTGGTCGGCTGAACCGGGTACCAAACTATACCAACGTTGTTATGCCAATCCGGAGTAATTTCGTCTGAAGATTTAAAAGCCGTCCACCACATCACGATTTTCCCTCAATTGCATGATATATCGGTAGGGTCGCTGCGCTATATCTTTTTCGACCCGGCAGATCCTGACCAGTGAGAAGGAAGACCTTTTTAGCCCGACAGTCTGGCCACTGTAGATCAACGGTTCTCGTGGCCAGGTGTTCATTGCCGACAAGACTGGACTGGGGTTCGGTATCCGGTACCCGACACAGGGCCATGGCGTGATTGGATCAAAGGCGGAAAACCCCTGCGAGACGGTATAGACTCCGCTCGGCTCTTGTTTCTTTCACAGCAGGCCGGTGTAGACTGATGACGAGTTCGCGGTGCTATTCTGTCCATGTCGGAACTAGGTGCGCGAAGTGTAGAGACTCATCTCAGAGCGCATGAGACAAAGGTTTCCGAGCTGTGTTACCATTGTCAGCAGCCCCGATGTGACAATTCGGAGATATGTAGGGGACGCAAGCACGGGGCACCATGAGCGGCCGCGTGGCTGAATCCGACATACTGTGTAGACTGCGAGAGAAGGTGAAGCATAGAAGGGGATCGGATCGGACTTGCAAGAGAAGGCATGCTGGGTTTTTGGACGAAAGCCACCAGCAATGATTGGTTACCGAGCAGCCACATAACCACATTGGTTCGAGATTGCATTGCAACGACTGGGTGGGTGTGATTCTACGTGAAGATGGCCCCGACGATGCGAAAGAAGCTGAAGGGATCAGCATCGTTGGAGGTTTCGTCGAGGTGGTGCACTCCGACAGTCTCTGTCCAGTTGGTCTTTGGATGAGAGGTAAGCCTTTTTCTTTTTTTTTTTTTTTTTTTTTTTTTTTTTTTTCTTTTCCCCTTCTTCGTGATTTGGATTGCTGTGGCAGACGGTATTGGGAAAGGGAACTGTATCCACATCAATCGACCAATCGAATGCCGATGAGGAACTGGGGATTTTGTCTTGGTGTTGCGACGCTGTGGCTTACACTACACAGTACACATTGCTGTTCACTGTTCTGCTATTTCATGTTGGAAGACACATATTCATGAGAAGCACTGCACAGCGACGTCAAAGCAGGATTGGCGATGTCGGCGAGTGTTGGTTGCGTCGGTCGGTCGTCCCTTCCTCGCGGCACTTCACCACCACACAAAGGTGCTTATCAGCATGGAAGTCGTCTTGTCTTCCTTATCACTGCAAGCACTTCCACAAAAGGAGCCAAGAAATGGCCTAAACCGAATCAGGGGCAAGAGTCCGGCAGCTGCTTTCACCACCCAACAACTCTTTCAATGGAGTGCGTGTCGACGTCGGTTTCATTCTCAGAATCCCCGCGTTGCGGAAGGTTTTGCCTGTTTTCGCTAAGCGGGAGATCCCCCAGAAGGTTATGTAGAGGTAAGGTAGGTAGTTGGTCTCTTCCCCTCTCTTCTTGGCAATCTATGCCTGGCCGTCCTCCTCGTGGGGGCTGATAATGCGACCTCGCTGGTTTTTGCTGATATCTAGAGTACTAGGTAGGTAGCCATTGATAACGCCGACACAGGATTGGGGGATTCCAAACCTCGTTATCCTTCTCGCCGTTCAGCTTCAGCTTGCACCCCAAGTTGTGTGTGCCTCTCTCTTGCTTATCTGCCGTCGACGACAAAAAAAGAAAGGCCTTGCCCGAGTACCACCCACCCAGCTGCGCATATCTCCTTGCTGCGTGATACACGATCCAGCGCCACGGCGCCCATATCAAGATGACGGACCAAAAGAATACTTATAGGCCATGTCAAACCCTAGGTCTGGCGCCTCTTTGCGACTGGCAATTGTACTTCTCAACATAGTCCTCGATCACATACCCACTCCAGCCACGGAATAAAGACACAACCAACAGACAGGACAAATCAGGACGACAAGCAGAACTCTTCCCACGCCAGACCGAGAAGTACTCCAAGATGGCCGAGCCAGAAATCGTGCCTGTTACCGAGTGGCCGGACTGGCATGCCAATCCCAACGGAGGTGATCCCTTCACGCAGAACCTAAACGCACCCTATGACAAGGTTCGTTGATGGCATCGGACACTGGCAGTATCGAGGAAAGAAACAAGCAACTAACCTGGTGTGTTGTATCTGTCCAGGGCGATCTGTGCTGGATGCTCGTGTGCACTGCCCTATGCTGGCAAATTACCCCGGCCATCGGCTTCCTCTATGCCGGAATGCACCGCAGGAAGGCGGCTCTGACCATGGTCCTTCAAAGTCTCTTCTGTGCTTGCGCTTGCGGAATCCAGTTCTGGATATACGGTTACTCTTTGTACCAGGCACGCACAACAAACCCCATCCTCGGAGACTTGTCATTGGCCGTGTTCCGAAATGTGCTTGCTCAGCCATCCATGGCCAACTCGGATATTCCTGATATTCTGTGTATGATCCTCCTCCCATGTCAGGTATTCGCCGGCTAACACTTGTTCCAGATGCTGCCTTTGGCTTTACCTTTGTTTCCTGCACTGCCATGATCTTGGCCGGAGCCATGCTTGAACGTGGCAGGCTGTTGCCCAGTATGCTTTTCCTGCTCTGCTGGACTACTTTTGTCTATTACTTGTAAGTCCATCGCCAACAGTCAACTCCCACAATCACTGACTTTATCCTCTCCAGCATTGCATATTGGGAGTGGAACCCTAGCGGATGGTTATATAAACTCGGTGTCTACGATTTCGCCGGCTCCGGTCCCGTTCACATCGCCAGCGGCTTCGGTGCCCTTGCCTGGTCCCTGATGCTCGGTCCGCGTGTCGCCGACTCGGATGTCGTTGACCGTAAGAAACTCGTTCACCACAAGCCCCATAGTCCGCTGTTGATGTGCCTCGGAACTGTCTTCATTTGGTTTGGCTGGTTCGCCTTCAATGGCGGCAGTACACCCAACCTCAGCCTGCGGTCCATCTACGCCATTGTCAACACGAACCTGGCAGGGTGCGGAGGGGGCGTCGGTTGGGTCTTGATCGACTATCTCTACAAGAGAAAGTTCAGCTTGGTTGGCTTTTGCTCGGGCATTATTGCGGGCTTGGTCGGAATTACCCCTGCAGCGGGTTATGGTGCGTTCTCTGTTGTTTTCTCCGGGCTACCTCCGAGTGCTCGTTTGACTGACTCGAAGCTTGCGCAGTCCCCGTCTACGTAGCCTCGCTCATCGGCTTCCTCACCTCCGCCACCTGCTACTACGCCGCCAAGTACAAACACCTCCTCTCTGTTGATGACGGTCTCGACATTTTTGCCATTCACGGCGTGGGCGGTTACGTCGGTGATCTTTTGACGGGCATCTTTGCCGACAACTTTGTTCCCGCTCTCGATGGCTATTCAGGCAGCTCCTATGCAGGTGGCTGGTGGAACCGCAACTTCCGCCAGCTTGGACTTCAGTTCGCCGGTGCAACCACTGCCGCGGCCTGGTCCTTTGTGGTCTCGTGCATCTTGCTGTTCATCATCAACAAGATTCCTGGCTTGCATCTGCGCGCGAGTGAGGACTCGGAGATCAGGGGTCTGGATATCAAGTACTTGGAGGATGTGGATGAGGAGGGGTTTTACATGAACGAGTGTATACTGCATGGGCGTACGCCGCCGAGGTGTTCTGGGTCGTTGAAGGCTCCTACGTCGGTTACGGAACCGGTTGGTGTTGAAGGAGGTGAAAAAAGGGATTAGAGGGAAGTGTTTTTGAGACTTTGTAAACGAGGCGGCACCACTTGGTTAGCTCATCATAAATTTTGAAGAATTCGAGTCGTAGCCCAGTGCGTCTCCGGCCATCGGCAATCTGCTGACGGAGTTCGAGAGGAGAACGGGAGCTCTCTATGCCGACACAACATGCAAGGGTCATGTTGTTGCTAGAGGTGGACTTGGACAGCACGACGGGGAAGACCGCACGACATTGACATCGACGTCGATTTCACCTGTTTGAAGGTTCAATATATATATATCTCCCAATCATCCACCTAAATCGGCAACTCTCGGATGATTCTTGCCGCCATTCAGTTAATTTGAGCACAATGGGTTCGAGTCGAGAAGGTTCCCGCTTAACAGTGGATCGGCCGAGTACCGTGCTGGACAGGTCATGATGTCATGCAAACTCTTGACGTCAGCTGTCAGTGAACAACATGCGAAAGCGTGATGTCCATGTTCGTTTTCGATGGATTGAAATTCAATTGGGAAAACTCCACTTTATTTTCCGTGTTGTTCCTGGCTCTGCGGACTCCAACATCTTGGAAGTTGAGGATCTTTATCGAGTGTGACACTCAAACCCATCGGAAGTTCAGTTTATGTTGGAGATTCTCTTTGTGTACAAGGGAGTAAGTATGTAGGTAACTACAACGCAAATGATAGGTACTTGGCCAGATCGAGTTCCCACTGCATTCCGTCAGTAACTGTACCTAGTGTACAGGGGAAGCGGCAGGAGGTGAGATCATCATTAGGTGCACAACGTCATCGTACTTGATTGACCTCCTCCCTTTATTTAACCAAACGAGCTCCCGGGTAATGTAGAGTGTTCGTTGTTCATCTACTACAACAACACATAACAAATCAAACCGAACTGTCGCGGGGCCATCACTTCACTTCACTCCATCCACCGCCACTACTCCAAATCACACTTTGGTCGTCTTCTAGCAAAAGTGAAGAGAACCAAGAACAACCCATCCAAACGTCAAGCAACATAATCCTTTGTCTCAACTTACCACCCACAACACCACCCACAACACCCCTCCCGCACAAAAGACAAACAAAAATGTCAACAGCAGCCAACTACCTCCGCGCCCGCGCCGTGCCCATCAGCATCGCCGCCGGCCTCGGCGGCATCTTTTGGTGGCAGACGCGCGGCGGCAAGACCCAGCCCCGCGGCGTATCGGAGAAACACAGCGCCACCGACACGGGTAACCGCGACATTTCCGAGACGTTGCAGAAGATGGGCGGTACGGGCGGACCAGCCGCTCGGAAAGAGCCGCTGGCGGAAGATCCCAAGGATACAAGGGTGATTTCGCATAGTCCTGGGGCGTATACGAAGCGGACGCCGGCCAAGACGGGGACGGAGCCCGAGGGGGAGCAGTCTACGGGCGCGGGGAGGAGGGATACGAAGGATTATGGGGGGAATAAGGTTTAGGGATTGAGGGGTTGGGTTGAGGGGGGAGGAAGGGGATGGGGGGAGGTGGTAAAACTGTATTAGTATGGTAAGGGTGAAAGATTCACGTCGTCAGACTGTTGATGTTAACCAGTACTCGCGACTTGATGGAGTGTTCTACCTATGATACATTGAGGGTTTAATGAAGCATCATTTCATGTCGAATAAGTTTAATTTGGTTATTGAACCTGCGTGAGGGGTCAGTTTTCTACAGGAAGGTGCCAATGTCATGCGAGATATGAATGTACCTAGGTACTCCCATGTCCAGGTTGAAGTATCACAACGGAAGGAAGGCACTAGTCTGAATCTTGAACAACATGGAGCTGATTTTTCCCTTGGAACAGCGGAGTTGTCAGTCATCTTCTCTTCCGCAACCAAACATGCTGCAATCAAACATTTTCCCAGTCATTCCTCTCTTTCTTCTCACGTCTTGTCTGCTACGTCCCTTCCGACATGCACGAGCTCCCAGCCGTATGACTTCCGTCAGAGATGATACTTTGTTGGCAATGATGAACATTTGTCACTCAACCACTGATTCATAGCGCACCGCATCTCTACATATCAAACATGTATGATACTGCTTGTATGGTGAGTTATGACACCACATTCATGATGAATCGGGGCACCGAAAAAGAAAACATGATGATAATAGAAAAGAGACGTCGCTAACTTCTTTCAAGGTCATTATGCTCGCCTATATGTACCTTTGTTCCAACCAAGATCCTTTAATACCTTGTGTCGCCTTTGATGTTTTGTTCTCGTGTGTTGAACGCAGCTCATACATCACACCTCTTTCCTAGCATGCCATAAGAATCAGCAGATCCGATGGACAAAGTTGTTATATGGCCTTGTGAAGGAATCTCGCTTATGATTCCGCACCTCGTTGTTGAGTCTCTTGGACGCCGTCATTACCTCCAGTACTTATCGGCTTCATTCCACAAACTGCGATAGAGGTTCCTGTCATGGCATTGAGCACATGAAAGGTCACGGTAGAAGTCCTTATAACCAGCAACCATGCTCTCCGCCTTGTAGAAAACTAGCGCCCATTTTTGGTGTACTTGTCGAGCCCTCCTTACCAGAACCGCTTCGCTCGTCCACCAACAAGTACAGAAGCTCGCCAGTGTTCCTAGTATGATGGTCGAGCTGGGTCTTTACTGGCTTCCAGCTAAGATACTGCTAACTGCACTTTGACGGTCCCTATGCACTCTCGTCTTTATGAACCGGACATATCTCTAGCCTTTGCCTTAAATTTCTTCCAAATTTCACTGCCGTTTGCTCACATCCGCCCATCTCACACAGCAAAGTTCACGTACCTTAATCTCGGAAGCCCATCCTGCCACGAATTCTCCAGTCGGAGCCCAGACCACCGCAACGCAGACACTCTTCACTCGTCACCGAGAACATCGGACGAACGAACAAAAACCTGAGCCGCGCGCCTTTCACAGGGCAGCCAACCAGGCAGCCGCACAACCAGTCCCCTACGAGTTCCCTTATAAGTTCAAGGTCCAGCCCCTACTTCCAACAACAAGTCCCCTCGCCGTTGGCTCAACCAGCGGTAGTAAGGTCTCTGCACGCTACAAGTGTAGCACCACAAGTGTGGCGGAGGGTTCCGCGTTCGACTCTGACGAGTGTCGGGTTGTTTCCCGAGGGTGTTGTTTTCTTTTGCTTTTCTGGCTTCTACTCCTTTCTCGTTGTGTGCCCCCCTTTCTTTTCTTATGGGTGTCCTGCTCTCCTATAACTGATTCTTTTTCTCGCTTCCTAGCACGCGTCGACGCAACTTTATCGAGGTGACTGATTGAGAACCTCGACAGCTCTCCTGGCGTCATTCTCTTTTTGAAACAAGGCCGGCACTTGTGTTATGGTCGGCAAAGTCTCAAATTCTTGCTCTTTGAGGGGACCAAACTTTGTGATTTGCGAAAGTATGGTGTTCAGAGCACTGTTGTCTTTGAACTTTGGCTGCTTTGTTGACTACTGCGCACCCTTCGAAAGTTTCAGAGAATTTGGCTCTTGATCTCTTCCCCAGTTACACTTGGTGGAAGTTCTAAGAGTTCGAGAGTCCTGGACCACACACCACAGTGCAACTCCCATCCTTTGAAGATCCCGGCGCCGGGGCCGGCCACGGCGAACAGTTTGTCCTCCCTCATATCTACGGATGCGACTTCGCCGACCTCGGTCTGTCCTTCGAAGACTTTAATAGTATTATCCCTATCTGGATTCAAATTCCTGAACCCCCATCTTATCATAAGGCCAATAATAGAAACTTCGTCGCGAATATAGTTAATATGATTGGCGACAGCGGCGTTCATAGCTAGCTATTATTATTTATTGACGAACTCGATTAGTAGCGCCGAAATAACAGTTAGCGCCCACTGCATACGTTCTTGCTGCGCGGCTAAGTCCGCGTAATTCTGCTGCAAGTCCGTGTAATTCTGCTGCAAGTTTGCGCATCTTTCCTCGAGGTGTGTGGCCTTCTCATGGCAGTCTTGGAGGCTGGGACTGGAAGAGAAATACTGGGTGGTGACCGGCTTCCGCGGACCTTGATTCCTCTAGATGGAAATAGAGTATGTACCTATGGATCGGTGGTGAACGAGGGTCCGCCCGACACGTAACGGGCTGCCGGGGTGGCAGCCGCACCAGAGACGGAAGCAGGGGCGCGGGCACGAGCAGGGGCAGATACGACGTTCTTGTTGGAAGGCATGGCTGGTGTTGCTGTTGGTCTCACATTAGGCAACTAGATATCAGGGCTCAGATAACTTACTTGCTGGTGGTGGTGGTGGTACTGGTTTGGTCTTTGGTCTCTCTAGTATGCGAATAGTATCAGTCAGTCTCATAGATCCTCTCCACGGAGGACCAGATTCAAAGACTTACCAATCTTGATTCTCTCACTGTACTGCTCTAGCGCTGGCTTCCCAGCATGTCCACGCCTGACAACAGACGACGACGACGACGACAACGCAGCCGTGGACCGGTACCAACCGGCCCCAATTGACGACAAGACTGGTCTTTTGGCACAGACACGCCCAAACCATGTCTGTGACAATTTATTTTCCAACCGCACTCAGCCTTGACTTTGTCGTCTTGTCTTGAGATATAACAGTTTGTGTGTGGTAAACTGTTGACGCTGAGTTTCCGTTGTTGACGGACGGACGGTTAATTGGCATTGCTTCCATCCTTTTATGTCAGTTCCGCCTTTGCGCTGCAATGCTTTGTCTAGCTCCAGAGCCGACTGCAATCCCTTGGACATGGTGGTCAGCGCTAGGTGGCGCTGGCCCGCGAGAGCTGGCACCGGCCGTATCGCAGCCAGTAGGTACCTGTAGGCAGTTTGAAGCTACCAAACATATCAACTGTCTTCATGTGAGTTCCGTCCGAGGTAAACTTTAACTTTACACGTCTGGCGTTGTGTGTTGAAGGAATTTTCATCTTGTTTCTGTTGAGGGTGCCTTGTCTTATAGGGAGTTTCGTCCAGTCGGGAGAGTGAAGCGTACCTACTACCTGATTGAGGAAAATGAAACTGACTAATTCCGTCCCTCCCTTTATCAGATAGCATGGCACACTTTTCGGCGGCCTTCTGTTTCATTCTTTTCCCGCTCCTTCCGCAATATGGCCATCGTAACAACCAGATGTTCGTCGACGAAATACTTGGGAAATCGAGGTTGAGATTGAGTTTGAAATCGAGGCCTACGAGCGAATTGGGAATGAGGTGGGTGCTCAACATGTTGAGTCCTTGCGGGGAGGCTGTGCGTGCAACCTTGGATCAGAATGTGCCTTTGCGTGTCTTATACTGGTCACTATTACCGATAAGAATGGCGTGAGTTTGGGTTTATCAACGGCTCAGGGCCTGCCCTTCCTCCGAAACCAGAGAGACTACCCTAATTGTGATGGTGTAAACGACATAGTGCCCGGTAAGAATACGTAATGTTCAGTGTGTGTTAAAGTTTGGTTTCTGGGAGAAGAATTTGAAGGGGGAAGGTACGAGTGGTTTAAGTAAGTACCTGCTGGGAGACTGGGGCCCGGGTCAAGTTTCCTATCTGTTTACTTTTATTTTTGTGACCACCAGTCGTCCTTTCTGTACGAGCGAAGCTCACTGTAGGTTCGGAGGTCCGAGCTACCATATACTCATGGGAGCAACTTGCGACAACATCATTGGAAACCAAGCCACTGCAACATCCAAACACCATCACTGCTCAAGTGGTCAGTCAATATACAGGAGTTTACCTACAATGTCTGGTCTGCCCCGGCCAAGGCTGGGAAAAAATGTGCGACCGCGAAACGCCCACCACCAGAGAAAGTCCCACTTCCATGCCATCAAGGCGGTGGCGGTGGCGGACCCGCGCCATTCTTCTATGGCGTTTGAGGATTTTCGTAGAGGTAGGTATTCAAGTGACACTATGTTAGGTTCTTTGAGAACCCCCACAACGAAGCGCAAGAAACAGCATCATACATGTTGCAACTGATGCTCCCTTGCTTGCTTCGGACTTGCAGCGGTTTCGTCGGTGTGCGTCGGCGTTCTGGGATGCGATGCAGGCGCGCCTTGTTGATGACGGTCTCCCCACGACGTTGCCTGGTATGCTCCGCGCCAGCAACTTCAGTCGTGAGCGATACTCGAGACTCGGCTACCGCACCATTGGCGATACCGATGATGATGTCGGTTCGGTGGTTGCGGTTGGCAGTCCTCCCGGTAGTGGCGGCGGTTCCCCTATGCAGATTTCGTCGCAGAGCTCCCCTGCCCCTGTCGCCCCTTCTCCTGAAGAAGGTTCGCAAGGATCATGATACCTAGGTAGTTAGACACAAGGCCAATTCCACCCTAGCTAGGTACCTCTAGGTAGGTATCTTCATGATGGTAGGTAGTCTTGGCCGCCATGTACGTACAACACTTGACCCCCATTCGTTCTGTCGTATATGATTAACATAGGTATATTTTTACAATAGTAATATTGTCTGGTATAGAGGTATGTTCATTGCCCGGCACGGATATACTCCCAGCTGCCGCCCCCCTCGAACGATCGGACCTCCTGCTATTCCGAATATACCTACCTAGTCTTGAGCTCGAGCGTATGGATAATTAGTTTGCGGGTAGGTATGTCCACGACATGCAGAGTGGTTTTCGTTTTTTTTTTTTTTTTTTTTTTTTTTTTTTTTTTTTTAAAAGAGGTAGGTAGAGGTAGGTAGAGGTAGGTAGAGGTAATTTGTACTTGAAGATGGATTGTAATGAAAGTGTAAAGTGGGAATTGAGCACTGCAGGGCTTGTGGAGGTGTTCTATGATTGAAGAATACCTCTACGAATGTATGAGTAAAGTAGCCAAGTATAGCGAGAATGGCTAGCTGTGATCTTCCAGTTATGAACTGAAGAGTAAGAAACTGGGGACACACATGAGGGGTGTGAAGGTATGGGGTATGAGTTGCGTCTATTGAATATTGATTCCGTGTGCTCTTGCACATCAAGTACTTTCCATTCGCTTGCTGGCTCCATGTACAAATGTTAAACACCATCATGCTACACTAATAACTAGACGAAAATATATTCGAACTAAAGTATCACGTCCGCTCTCAAGCACTGCTTCCTTTCCTCTCCTTCTCCTTCTCCTGACCCTGCCTACTGGAACTAGACGTTGTCCTCTCCGTATCCACTCCCGGCCGCTGCTCTCGCTCCTGCTTCACCTGAACCACCGGCACCGTGACCTCCTTGCTCGCCATTGGAGCATGAGACAATGGACTCTTCTCCTTCCTCTTCCCCTTCCCCTTCCCATTCTCCTTCTCCTCCTCATCTTTCAACCCATCCAACGACCTCTTCCTCTTGATCGCCGAGCTTCGCCCGGTGGTGCCCATGTAAAAGTCATAACGATCCGGAAATAAAATGATATTCGCCATCCTAGCGACTTCGGCCTCGGCCCGACTGACAGCAGGCGTGTTCGATGATACGCCGCCGCCAATGATGCCCGCCGTGCTGGACTTGGCGGCAGCTATGCTGGCTGTAATAGCACTTGTACCCTCCATCTCAACATCCTCATCGTCGACTTCCCCATTGTTACTAGAATTACTGGTCGGCGTGGGAGCAATGTCAAAGGGAGCCAGTCCCATGGCTTGAAGTCCCGCGGGGCCGCCGACCTCGGCAATCTCCGTCTCGCCCGGCCTTCCAGCGTGCGACGCCTCGCTGCCTAGACCGCTTCCCGTAGAATCAAAGTCAGGACCGGGGTGTCCGCGCTGGAAAGTCTTGCGCTGGCGAGCCAAGTACAGAGCGTTGGTCTGGGTGAGCGGCGCGGCGGGGACGTAGACGAGGATCGACACGGGCTTATTGGGGGCGGAGGGCGTGTTGTTGTCATTGTCCGGCGGCGGTGTGGGCGCGCGGCTTGCCATGATGTTGGGGTTGGAGGTGATGTGGTACGCCAGGTCGGGGTGCCACACGATGTAATCGCCTGTTTGCAAGGTGGGCAGGGTGGTGAGGGTGCGGCGGAGGTGCAGGTGCGGGTGCCAGAGCTCGGTGAGACGCTGGGCATGGCCGGGAACGGCGCCGTGGATGATGGTGCTTTGCTCGGTGTCGAGAGACCAGTTGGAGGCTTCGAGGAAGGCATCCCACTCGGGACCTTCGCGACGCTCGGGAGGCGGGCTCTTGAACGAGAAAAAGGGACGGAGGAGGAAGTAGGCGGTGGCTAGCTTGGGGCTGGGAAGTAGCCGCACCATACCCGGGCCAATGGTGCTGAGAGCCACGATGCCCTGGTACATGCGGAAGATGCTGCAGGCGCCGTAGCCGTTGTAGAGATCCGGGGTCGCAGTGACGCGGTAGGTGGGATCCCAGGGGTCGTACTTCTCCCACTCGCCCTTGAAGACGGCGTCGTAGGTGCCTCCGCGACCGTACCCGTCCGATTCCCAGCGCTCAAGACTGCCGTTGTCGACCTGGGCAATGACGGTCGAAGATGCAAAGTCGTCGAGGAGCTCCATGGCAGCTCTTTTGGCCTCGGCGGCGGCAGGGTCCTCGCTGGCCTTCTTCTCGGCGGCATCGGGTCCTACTCCGCCGATGTTGGCGCCGTGAATGCGCAGACGATCGGCGTAGGCAATGGGGAAGCGGGTGACCATGCGGTCGTCGGCGTCATTGTCCCAGAGCGACATGGCGAAGCGCTGTGCTTGCAGCACCTTGGGGTGCGCGCGCGTGCGCACTTGGGCTGGCGTCCAGAAGAAGTCGAAGCATGTTGGGTCTTGGGGAATGGGATCCTTAAAGTCGTGCTTGGTTTCGAGGTACTTGACCGTCTCGTCGATGGCCTTTTGCGCATCGGCGTGGGGCACGACGCCGCGGATGACGCCAAGACCGTAGCGCTTGAGGTCGCGGGCGAAGTCGGCCTTTTTGGAGGGGTTCGCGATGTCGCCAAAGTCGATGCTGGGCGTGATTGACGCACCGCGCTGGGCAATGTCCTCAACCTCGTCGCGCAGTGCCGTTATCAGACGGGCCCAGGACGCCTCGAGCTCCTTCTCGTGGCCGGCGACGAGACTGCGCTTGATCTGGGCAAAGCGACTGGGAAGGGGCACGGGCTCGGTGCCGTAAAAGGAGAGCACGGGCGGCTCCATGTCGTCGCCGGCGGCAGGGGATCGGGAGTTGCTGGCGTGGTGGTCGTGGATGGCAGGAGAAGCGCTGCTTCGGGGGCGGCCAATGGTGTTGTTGCTGAGGGAGGCGGCATTCTTGAGCTTCGCCAGGGTGGCGGTTAGGGGAGAGCGGTGCTTGCTGAGCTTCGACTGGATGCTGCGGGGTCGTTGGAGATGATGGCTGCTGTGGTGTACCTGTACCGCCGCGGGCCCTGTTACTTGTGAAAGCGCGGCGCTGAGGCTTCCGTTTCCGTTTCCGCTTCCACTTCCACTTGCAAGCGAGGAGGACAGGATAAAGTCGGATTCACCCGGTGACTGGCTGTACCCCAGATTGTGGTATCCATTCAAAGACAGTCCAGCAGACACAACCCCGCCTGTCCCCTTGTCCAGACCACTAATCGACTCTCGTGACGATCTCGTTATCCTTGTGGTGGCGGGCGTCAAAGGTGCAGCCGATACAAGCACGGCGCCGCCACCACCAGTTGTTGATGTTGCCATTGTTAGGTAGAGGTAGGTTGTTGTTTTCCGTGTTACTACCTGACCATGGAGCTTTCCCGGTTGTTGATTTGCTTGTAACACTTGGTCAAGATGCTAATGTTGAGTGGTAAGGGTCGCCTCGAATAATGTTGTGCTATATTTGTTGTTGTATTGTATAGCGTCGAGTATGGTGCGTGTTTGTGTGTGTGTGTATGAGGGTGAGAATGTACCTGAAGGTGTTGAAGAGAAAGTGAGGGTGCGTGGGAGAGACGGGCTTCTTGTCTTGTTTTCTTTGTCCCGCGCGGTCCCAACGGTGTGGATATCAGCTCTGGTCGTTCCCCAGAGTCTCCAGTCCCCAAAGACTCCAGAATCCAGGTCTCCAAAGAGGTCGACGGGGTTACCCCAGCGAGCCCAAGGGGGTGGCCAGCGAAGAAGCTAGGTTAGACCCAATGGCAGAATCTCGGCCGAATGGGGTTGTCGGAATCCACAATCCACCTCACTTGTTGACAGGGACCTCGATCCAGACTTTCGACACCTTTAATCCACCAGGTTTCGGGTGTCGGAGGAGATGTTGACAACTGAAAAAGGCAAAAAGAAAACAAAGGCGATCCAGGTAACTCTGGTGACTTGAGAGGTTCTGGGGATGCTTGGTACTGTTTTATATGGGAGAGGATGGAGCGATACGCGCGTGGGATATGGTGGCATACGGATAAAAAAACGTGGTATGTTCTGGATGGATCTAATCCGGGAGCCGGGAACGATGATGCCGTACGGTTCTCGCCGGAGTTAGGTTGTATATCTGCTGCAGTGTAGGGAGTTTTCGGATCGACGAGCGGTAGGTAGCAAGATAACAATAGTAGATGATATCGCCTTATATTTAGGCAAATATTGGTTTCCCCCAAATCTCGCCAAATGGGCCAAACGGCTACAGCACCAAACAAACACACAAGCACCTCATAGTTCTATCTACCTGCTGTATCTCTTGCACCCACCGTACAGAGACGAGTTGCGAAACTCGGCATCTCGTAGTCTTGGTAGCATCATGATACGACTAAACCTTTGAAGATAGTCTTGAGATCAGACTCAGGAGTAAGGGATGCTCTTTCCCCTCTTGCCAAACCCGGGACGAGAACCCGTCTCAGCAAGCGTTTTGAACAGGTTCATCATGCAAACAATGGGAGAAGTCCGACTTTTCCTATCGGCCAGACTTGGGAGGCGAGACGGGAATCTCGGTATGGCGGTTGGCCGGGCCCGTCGAGTAGACTAAGCCGTCGAGTAACATGTCTGGTAACGTAAGGTAAGATTCATTTATTCCGAGTTGATTCTCCAGGTCAACGGTCACAAACACATTGCACAGTTAGGTTGTACTACTTGACGGCAAGTGGTGACCCTGGGACCCTCGCCCATTTGGCAGCTGCAGTTGCTAATCGGCCAATTGAGAGCGACGCGGGGCAGAGTTTGGCGAGTCCAGCTTTCGTTTCCTTTCGGAACAGCCAAGCGCAACGTTGTAGTTGAACCCTCGATGGAAAGTTTGGACATTTGGACTCGAGATTGGGGGTTCACCGGGCACCTCAGCTTCCTTCCCGTCCCAGGGCAATTACCTACTTGTAGGTTGTGCTCGGCGGGGTTCGCGGGCCACCTGCTCCCTGAGTGCCGAAGTTCACCCCATTGGCTGTGCAAAGTGGATTTTGTCGGAATCACGGCTCCGCATCGCCTGGAGAAAGTGGCACCGTTGCACGCCGGGCCGCTGTTCCAAACTCCATTCTCGGGCGGATCCGAGTGAGCGACAATCCACAACACGCCATTGGTCACTGGTCTACATACAGTAAAGGTAGAGGTACGTACCGTCGTCAGGCACACCCTCCCTTCAGTTTCTTTCCCCTTTTCCGCCAAGTTTCGATTTCTGTTCCAAACAGTTCGCAACATCCTTCCATCAGAGATCATTCAACTTCAAACCCCCAACCGTCACCCACCATTTTCACTGCGCACGACCTTCTGGCCACTGGCATCCGGCAATCACATCTGTCAGAGAACAAGGTCTTGCGTCAATTCCCAAGCCCATGCATTTTTTCTCTCTCTTAGTTTTTTATCCTTTTTTTTTTTTTTTTTTTTTTTTTTTTTTTTTTTTTTTTTTTTTTTTTTTCACGGAATTTACCCCGCCATCGCGGCTCAAAGAATATCACCTTTCCAGACCTTATGAATTACCCTCTCCCTATCGTGGCAAGCATTCTGTCGGCTGTATCAACTGTGTTCCCGCTTCGCCTCAGCTATAGACATATCTACCAGAGATATACTGCCTCCACGGAGTATCCCCCTCCATCCCCAGTCTCACTTCACCATCATTGGCCAGTGAATGTCCTTCGGCAGAGAGAATGCTTCACATCTCAGCCTCGCAGCTGACACTCGACATTATCCTGTCTCACGCTTCTTACCTTCTCCTCGTTTGGCTTGGGTTCTTCTGAGGGTCCTACATATCAGCCAGTTGTCGAGGCTGTTAAGTGGCCATGAACCCCCAACTTTACGTTATCACCACCACCCACCACAGTCATCCCTTTGGTCTCCAGACATTCACAGAACACACAGTCTTGTCCGCGATTTCCGCCAGTTGGATTATCTTGACTGCCGTTACATGCCGTGTCCTACCACTACCCACCATCCGTCATGAGAAACCTGGTCGTGGTCACAAACACCCAAGCGTTATCCACTCCGCCAGTCTCACTCATCATTAAATCCGATATGAATAGGCCATATCCAAGTGGACATGTGGATCTTATTACTACGAAGCCATTCTCGCTTGTTCAAGGAAACCCGGGCATCGTGAAAAAAGATGCTCCGGACCTCACAAAGGGATCCGTCATGAAAGCGTCACGGCATTCGGAAACACACACGCGACGGGGCAGCTTCCCGTGGTTGATATTTGGTACCGACGGTATCCTCCACTGAAACAAGCCATGGTGAACCTCGGGATGGAACAGTGCAAGACCTTGGTTCTCCTTATTCGACACGTGCTAGGTGCATGTGTCGGATACGAGAACGATAGAGTTGTTAACTGAAACATTGACGCATATGACGGCCCTACACAACCGCTTCAGCCGTCCTTTCATGACTTGCTTCATGGAACATGACACATACTGGCTAGTTGCTTGGTTCATTAGCCTATCGTTGACACATATTTCCCCCCACGACTGGTCACATACACACCGAACTACCCAAAGGCCTGGATATCGACGATCGATCCTGACTGCACACCTCGACAATAATCGGAGAGGAAATCGTGGGTGTGACCAAACGCGGAATCCTATCGTCCTTTTACTCCATCAACCTTGCATCATCGGCTATATAAATTGTTTCCTATCTTTCCAGTCCAACCTGTGAGGGCGAGCGTGGGGGGTGGTGGTGAGCCAGCTATCGACAATCACCGGGTGCATGTGTCATCCCACGTCCCCAGGCAGTCAGGTATCAGGGATGGCACTTCCAGGACTGGGTAACGACAGCGAAAGATTGTTGGAGGAGATATTGAGAATTAATGGCAGGGATAGGAAGTACTAGGGAGGACGTAAAACAGCGACCTGGAGCTTGACCTGGACCTGGTTGATACGCAGGGGACTCGTTTCAGTCTGCTACCCCAAAAATAAGGACGTAAGGATAAGGTGACTTGCATTGAACTCACCTTCCCTTTTTGGGGCGGAGAGGTGGACGGATCAAGCTCCGAAGATGTAAACAGGTAGGTAGGTGATGTGAATAAGCTTTGATATATGCCTAATCCATGTGGGTACGTAGGCATGCGTGGACGATGGTGGGTTTGAGGTACGTTGTTCCTTGTCGTGGATGAGCAGTAAGGATTGTCTGCGATATCGCTTCTGCGTTGGGAAGACGACATGGGGTGGGTGTAGATTCACTCATTACACTCCAGGACAAAGTCTTCGAGTTTGCTCTATTTCGTCAAGTAGCTCAACTTGGTGGAATCCTGATTCCTGCCAAATTACATGTGAGAAGGTGGAGGCAAATCTGTTTCCTCCATCTCTTCGCTCTTTCCTCCACAGGGAAATTATGCTCATCTAGCTTTCGGAAGGACCATCCGTCAAAATGGCGATACCTTCCACTTATGATTCCGAGATCCGACTGACCCGCCCCTGCCGTCGCAACATCCTTCCGTATCGCATTTCTCAAAGTTCCGACTTTGCTGACAATGCTGGATCTCGGCACTCATGAAGCTGTCGGTCCCGACCATAACAATGAATCTTGGAGCTGAGATATGCTTTCTTTTCTCCCTCATTTTCATCAAGCAGGAGGGAATGATTTCTATCATCTTATCTCCACCTTTTCCGCAATCCCGTCGCTCCTCGCCTACTAGGTACCTTGATATCGAGACAGAAGCCTTCTTGGTAAGCCACAAAGTCATCGCGATAGATTACCGAGGGCGACGGCAGCTTGTTTGTTCAATCCGCTGTTGCGCTGGTGGGTGGGAAAGGTCCGTCCTGGCAGCACCCCCCAGGACATGCACGACGGTAGCTTCATTTGCTTGTTGCAGGTCTTCTTGACGAATGACTTGGATTTCTGCTAATCGTTCTGGCCCAACTCGCTGTCTAGACCTTCTCCCCCTCCGAGAACCGCTCCGTGATCTTGACCCACAAGTCGGACTGGAAGCACATGTTGACATTAAATTCATGCCACGGGTTCTTGGGCTCCACGAGCTGGAGATCGAAGCGACGGAAGAACTAGGGCAAGGCGTCGTCAGTATCGGACCGCAGAAGGGGGTTTACTGGCACTTTCTCACCTCGAAAAATACCTTGCTCAACTCCATCAGCGCCACAGGCTTGCCCAAACACGCCCACCTGCCATAGCCAAACACCATCTCGGTGGTCTGCTGCATCTCCAGCCTCTTGGCCGGCTCGGCATTCAGCCATCTCTCGGGCCGGAAGACGTCGGCGTCGTCGCCAAAGACATCTCTTCTCCGGATCAGGCCGCCAAAGTTATGGCCGACACGAGTGCCCTCGGGAATGAATATGCCGTTGATGAAGTCTCCGCCCTTGGGTGGTGACTTCATGCATAACCCGGAGAAAGGTGCTTGCATGCGCAGTCCTTCATAGACGCATGCCTGCAAGTACTCCAAGTGCTTCGCCTCTTCGGCTCTGATGGGGCTCGAGATCTTCCCCTCCTTAACTGCCTTGTCAATCTCCTCCAACAACCGCACATATGCCTTCTTGCTCGTCGCCAAATGGAAAAAGGTCGACCTGACCGCCACTGCCGTCGTGTCGCTGCCCGCTAGGATTTGGAACAGGACCTCGACCTCGCACGCCTGCTGCTCAATGCCATGCCTAACAAAGCTCCCCAACATGTCCTTGCGATCCTCCGCCTTCTCGCCAAACCTTTTGGCCACCATCTCCCTCGCCATGCCCATGACCCTCCCCATACCGTTCGCATCACTATGCTTCGGCCCAAACCACTGCAAGAACCACTTGGACAAAAAGATCTTCTGCAACAGCGGGAGTTCCGCCATCAGGCTATTGGCCGGCACCGCTTTTATGACCGTGCTCGTCCACTCAAACTGATCCTTGTCCATCTTCAGCCAGCCGAACTCCTTCCCGTACGCGATGCGCGTGATCACGTCCAAAGTGAAGAACTGCGTCACCTTGGCCAGGTCCATCCTCTTCAAGACGCCCCGCTCGTCATCAGATATGTAGCGCGACTTGATATACTGAATCAGCGTGCCGACTACCTCGTCGATATCGCTTTCCAAACCCGGGTTCTCGCGCCCGCTATACCCGAACGATAAACGCGCCTTGAACAAGTCGTGTGTTTTTGTGTCAGGCTCATCAAACAGCGAGCCACCGCGCGGGTCGAGCGTCATGGCGCGGTACCAGTTTGATCGGCCCCAGGCGGAGCGGGCGCCGTTCATGTGCCGAATGATGGCCGGATCATCGGTGATGAGGTCTGTAGAGCCGATGCGCACGAGGGGAGATTGGTATTGCTGGTTGAGGCGGCTGTAGCCATCGGCGTGGTGGCCCGAGAACAACACCTTCAGCATAAAGAGGGGGGAGAAGGAGGCGAGGAAGGGGCCCGGGAAGTGGGAGAGGCGCCGGTAGGTGATGATGATGGAGACCAAGACGTAGGTCACGAGAGAGGCGGCCAAAATGGGTAGGGCGTAGGGCCCTTGGGCGAGGGAAAGGAGTTCTTGGAGCATTTTGGCAATGGCAGTGCTTTCCGAGAGGAGCCAAACTGCAAGAAGAGACTGCTACGGAACTGGAGCTGGGACTTGAGCACTATCGGCTTCGCACGCTCGACTTTATACATTATCCCATGGTCCACTACTACAAACGTAAGTGGAAGTCACATCCTTGCCAATTTTTTGCTGGGAACCCTAACGTTCCAGTGCACTTGTGTCCTCCAGGTTTCCACGCATTAAGAACCGCCACATGCTACACGGTGAGGATTAAATAATCCAGAATGCGACTTCAGTCTGCATGGTTAGTAAATAAAAAAAAGAATTGGTGGGGGTGAAATGATACCGGTTGAAGAATGAATCAACGACAGACAGTTCTCGGCATTTGTTCCGTGGCCGTTGTGGCGTCTTCGGTAGTCATGGATGAGTGTGACCCTTGCTGCCTTGCGTTACATCGATGCCAAAAATATGCACGCTGAAGGGGGAGACTGAATGATTGCGACCGTGATATGTATGATGCCTGCCTCTATTCCAGGTTGAGGTACCCAGATCACAAACTATCGGTGCATGACAGGATGGGATATTGTCTGGTGTCCATCATTGCTTCAAGTGTCGATATCAAGCCAATATTTCACCTCGGCATGACTTCCCCATGGGGATTGTCCGGTACCCCCATAGCTTACCTCCACTAACACCGTGCCTTCCGAGAGTAAACGTTAGACGCCAGTGAAGGCTGTCTTGGACGTAAACCTCGAACGTCTCACCAGCGTGCTTCCATACGTGCAATTGTACATACACCACGAGCATCTCACCGTACCGTGATGGTACATCTAGTCCGGTCCCTTCCTTCCTGCATGCAAGCAAGCAGCATGCAACTTCTCCAACTTGTCCGTGAACCGAAAACCCCAAGTTCACAAAGAACAATAGCAAAAGATCCAAAAAAGACAAGAAATGTGTCCCGCCAGGAGTCGAACCTGGACCCTACTGCACACAGAAAGCCTTCGAAATGACCTTTGAAGTTAGATTGATTGCACTGCCCGTCTACGACCTAGGCCACTGCTCGGGCTGCGTGGTGTAGGTAGGGTGATGGCCGCTTCCAGGACGAGAGAAGAACTACGGACAGTTGGTTATATACCTATTTAGGTAAGTTTGGGTTCTGGTTCTGGGAAGGATATTAGCTGCAGGGTGTTGAGTGCAAGCTTGGTATTATAGAGGGAGGTATCCAGATGTGCATCGCACTCAGGTTGCCTCGTTAATTTGTTAATAGAGGTAAGTAGGTAGGTAGGTACGTTTTTCGTTGTGGAGTATTCTCAGTTGTTACATGCGTAGAGGTAGAGGTATTGGGGAGGTGATGCTTTGGATAGGTGGTTATCGCGCACGTCACCATCAATCATCCCCAGCAATCTCCAACACCATTGCATCGCCGTCACCCTTTCAACCTAGGTAGGTCTAGGGTAGGTAGGTATCCAACAGCCATCGCCATCACCACAATTATCACCACCATCACCGACTTCATCACCTTCCATCATCACTTTTCTCCAACCCCCTCAAATCTCCTCCAGTCCCTCCTTCTCAATCCAAACCATCTACATCTACATCTACACTACTCTTACCTATGTCCCCAGACAGTAGTCCCCCCCCTGTGCCCCCTCCTCGTGCTATGTCCTCCCTCTCCAAAAACCTCACCTTCACTCCCGTCAACATACTCATAAAATACCTCTCCATGTTTTCGTCGTCTGGCATGTGTGTGACTTGGACCCGAAACTCCGCTACTAATCGCGGTATTACTTTCCAGACGATTAGTTCGGCCAGGTGGCGGCCGGGACAGGTGCGTGCGCCGCCGCCGTAGGTGAGGTTTAGGTGGAGCATTTCTCTCAATCTCTTTCTTTCGGCTTCTTCTTCTGGGTTTAGGTTTGGTTGCGGAGGCTTGCTGGATGAGTCGGAGTCGGGTTCGGGCTCGGGGGCGAGCTCGGAGTCGATTTCGGAGCCGGCATCGGAGCCGACACCCGCGTTGGAACCGGCCTTTGATGGTGGTGATGATGATGATGAGCCGGAGTGATGACGGGACAACCACCGACTAGGGTTATACACGTCCGCATCGTCCCCAAAGATTTCCGTGTTCCGATGCAACGCTACAGGATTACACCCCACCGTCGTCCCCTCGGGGACCCAGTGGCCATGCAGCATGACTCCTGCACCGTCAAGGTCTCGCGGGACAGTCCTCGAAAGACTCATGGCGATGACAGGATGTAATCTCTGTGCCTCTTTGATGGCTGCCAGAGTATACGGGAGTTGCTTAGCCGTGGTATCGAACGGCACCGTCCCACCACCCCGAAGATGGGAACCAACTTCCTCAGCGACTCTTGCTTGAACGGCTGCATGCGTCCCGAGCATAGCCATACAAGCCGTCAAAGCCGAACAAAGCGTCTCATGTCCCGCGCCAAAGTTGGTCATTGCCATTCTGCGCAGGTAGGTTTCCGTGAACTGCTCCGGCTTGGATTGATGCAGTCTTATCAGATCCTCCAGGAGATCCTTCTTCCCGGTCCCTTTGTCTTGCTTCTTCCCCGCCGGCTTAGGGTGTTTGTTCTTCTTGCTGGGCTTCACCACCTTCACATCTTCACTCATCCACAAAAGCAAAGCCATCGACACCCGTCTCGACACCTTCTGATAAACAGCCGTGAAAAACGGCTTGAACCCTTTCGGTGTAGCGAACGTGACACCCCAAGTATTCGACCACCACCTAGCCACTCCCTTCCCAATTTTTGCGCCTATTCCGAAAGGACCACCTTCTAGAAAAGAAAGAACGGTGATAGAGGGAAACAGGCCAAAGACGGACTTGCGCTTCCATCCACGGTAACCCTGGACACTTGTCCCGCCGTCGGACTTGTCGCGGATGTAACCCGGTGACCAACTGAGGACTACGGCGCCGAGACATTCGACGGCGATGATGTGCATCCATTCTTTGAGATCGACTTCTTGGCCTTGGAGGGTGCGCAGCTGGGCGATGGCGCGATCCAAGACGGCGTCGATTTGGGGTTCGAATTTCTTGAGGGAGGAGAGTTGGTAGAGCGGGCCGATGAGACGGCGTTGGAGGCGGTAGCGGGGGAGGTGGCGCTCGGAGAGGAGGTCGAGGGTGTCGGGGTGGTGCTGCCGTAATTGGAGACTGGGAAAGGGGAACTTGAAGGGGGAAAATTTGAGGGAAAGGGTGGGTTTGGTGAGGAGGGTTGAGACTGCGTTCGTTGGATTAGACTTGCAACTTGTGGGGTTAGGAAAAGGGGGGAGGCAAGTGAGGGAGGGGGAAGAATCTAGAAGGAGGGAATGAACGTACGGTAAAAATCCGATTTCTCAAATCCACTTCCTGCACCTATTGAATCCCATTAGCATCATGTCATAGTCCACTCGGTGAGTGCACATCTCATCCACTGAAAGGGGAGAAGGAACCTACTATAAATAGTCTTAAACGCCTCCTTACTATCAAACCAAAGTTCATTAGGACCAACTCTCACCACGGGCCCATATCGCTTATGTAGAGTTGTGCCCAACTGATACATGCGACCATTGCGGGCATGACAAGCGTGCCAGATGTTGGAAAGGGCAGCTAGACAAGGACCAGGAACGCCAGCGAGGGGATGGAGATACAGTCGGTATACTGCGATGGCGAGGATGATGACTATTGTAAAGAGGAGAACTGATGTAGTTGTCTTGAGTAGTAGTGATGTAATTCTCTTGAGAAGTGGTGTAGTCGTCTTGAGTAGTGAGACTAAAGTCGTGAGGACGTCTTGCAGTGTTGGCAAGGACATGGTGGTGAGTGAGGATGGGAGACTGGCGTTGAAAGTACAGCAGGGGCATAACTCAATTAGTAGGGACATGTTTGTTTGTTGTTAATGCGGAGAGGTAAATGGCTGATCTCTTGAAGCTTCAGTACTGTCAGATCAGTCTCGCGCAGTCCTTGAAATGAGCGATAGCGCTTTTGTGTGATGAAGAAAGTCCAACATGTAAATGATGCCTCAGCCGGCGTCCATCATATTTCCCGTCGTGGTGGTCGAGAGGCAGCAGTGTTGTTATGTTGTTGCCTAGCTTGGAGTGGTGGACAATATCATGAACGAGAAATTTTGCTGAAACAGAAACATCCATGGCGACAAATTTTGGATACACTTCAGTTGCTTCAGGGTTAGGGCTGGGTATGTAATGCTGAGCATAGGGGCGACAAATGTCTGACACTGTCTGTCATCCAAAAAGAATGTAAATGGAATCATGTATTGAATCTCATGTATTAGAGTAGCCTGCCTTGTGAACGTAGTAAATCATCATCACAACATAATCAGTCGTTACTTGGATCCCCTCCTTTCCCCTCGAAGTTTCTCCACGAAGTATCGGCTTACTGAGGAGGACCGAGGCTGAGGATATCCAACCCATCCTTCAGCTGCGACTTGGTCGGCATCTTGTTGAGCTGCATCATCTGGGCACACTGAGCCATGGCGGGATCCTTGCCCATACTTGCCATGGCCACCACCGTCTCTCCCTTGGTGTAATAAGCCACCCACTTGCCCTGGTCAGGCTCGCCCTGGAGAACAAGGTCATCCCATCCGTGGTTCGAATTTCCGCAGTACCGAAGCTGTGCACCAAGCGCGCTCCAGAACACCGGGGTGAAGAACTCGGGCTTCAGGTTGGGGTGCACGATATGGTTGGCCACTGTACGGCCAGCGTTCTGAGCGACGTTGTAATGCTCAATACGAACGTACTTGCCGTCGCCACCGGGGCCATGGTAGGGATACGAGGCAATGTCGCCAATGGCGTACACATCCTTGAGTCCAACAACCGAAAAACTCTCGTCGACCTTCAAGCTGCCATCGTCCTCAAGGCGGACCACACTGTTTTCCTTGAGGTACTCGGTAGCTGGCGAAACGCCGACGCCCAGAATCACCATGTCGGCATCAAGCTTGGTTCCGTCTTTGAGATGGACTGAGCCAACCTTGGAGGGGTCGGCTGCTGATGGCTCGGCCTTGTCGACGCCGGCCGACATGTAGAACTTGACACCCTTGGACTCAATGTTCTTCCTGACAATGGCGCCCACGCGCTCCCCTAGCACGCGCTCCAAGGGTTCCTTCTCCATTCCGATAATGGACACCTCATTTCCGTCAGACGTGCAAGCAGCGATCTCCATACCGATAAAGGAAGAGCCGATAATGACAATCTTGTTGCCCTTCTTCTCGCCAATCGCCTCTTTGATGTTCTTGGCGTCGTGGACATTGCGCAGAGTGAAGATGTTGCCCAAGACCTGGAAGCCTTGAAGAGGCAGGAGCTTGGGGGTGCCGCCAGTGGCAAGGACCAGTCTAGAGTAAGGGAGTTGTTGACCGGACTTGGTCTTGACTGTCTTGCCCCCAAAATCGACACCGACTACCTCGTCCTGGACAAAGTCAATGTCTCCGGTCTTGAACCATTCGGCATCGCGCCATTGTAGCTTGTTGAGATCGGTCATGAGCGTCTTGCTGAGCTTGGGGCGGTCAATGGGCAGGTAGCCCTCGTTGGTGACGACGGTAATGGGGCCGGAGAAGCCTAGCTCACGCAATCCTTCCACGGCGCCGAGAGCACCGGAACCGCCGCCGACAACGACGACCCTGTCGGATAGAGGAGCTCCGGCAACCTTGCACTTGATCTTGGGCTTGCGATGGCCGGCTTTGATGGTCTCGGCATCACCCGTGATGTAGACGGCGCCGTCGCGTTCGGTGGCCTTGAAGACCGGGAGAGCATCGAGGGCGGGGGCGTTCTCGATGTCGCCCGTCGTGGTGTTGAAGCAGGCTCCGTGCCAGGGGCAAGTCAGCTTTCCGTTGTGGCCCAGAACACCCTTGGCCAAGGGGGCACTACAATCGCATTAGTGAGACGGATTCCTCCAAGTCGCATGGCGCAGGTGACATACCCGTAGTGAGTGCACCGAGGGCCAATGGCCTGTGTCTTGCCGGCGGCGTTGAAGAGGAGGACCTTTGCATCCAAACCCTCCACCTCGACCTCGTGCTTCTCGCCGGGTTGGAGGTTGAGAGAGGTGATGCCCTTGAGCTTGTATTCTTGCGCCATTGTGAAGTGTGGTGTCGACGAGAATAGACGTGTTGTTGATGTTGTTGCTGTTGTTGTCGGAGTGCGTAGTAGAAGAAAGAATCGAGTCGAGAGGACTTGTCGCTGGCAGGCTGCCGAGAGGGGTCGAGAGAGGGGTAGAGAGCGGGAGAGAGGCGGCAGTGCAATCATGGATGTCATCCGATGGCTGCAGTGGTCACAATTCGATTGATGGTGTAGAGCAGAGACAGAGTGGGGGAAAGCTGAGTGAAGAAGAAGAGGGTTCAGATAGTGACTGGGAGGTACCTGGGCTACGATGGGAGATGGGACTGGACGGGATCATTGATGTAATCAAGAAGCCATGATTGGTGAGCTCGCACTTGTGCGGTCCAGTTGCTGTCAGTATGTACCATGAACATTCAGTACTACATACGGAGGTGGGATGAAGTAGGTGGCAGTGGTGGGCTACTTATCTGAAGGTACTTGTAAGATGCACCTTGATGGCCACTCACGATCCACCGGGAGAGGGTGCAACTGTGACAGATCTGGCAGCTTAACATCTATGATGACTTGAAATAATCCAAGTATCAATCACTACTGCCACATATCAAGGTCTTGTTTTCTAGTAGAGACCTCAAAAGCTTGAATGAGGTGGCATATAAACATAAAAGGGAGTGATGCTTCGTGGGGAACCAATGTTCCAGGGAATGGGCCTGCTTGATGTACCAATTGATAGAAGCTAGAGATAGCTCCCGCTCCTATCATGTCGATGCCGTCATTGCAGTGGGTACCTACCTACCTCTAGCACAGTCGAAGCAATCTGATTGGTTCAATTCGATTCTGTCCTTCCATTTTCCATTTTCGACAAGCAACTGAATGCTCCACGAATTCTGAGTCCCCTCTTCCAACGTCAACCTCGACAAAACACCATGGCACTCCTCACTCCGGTCCTCTACTCCGGCTCCCGTCCCTACACTACTAATCAACAGCCATCACAACTTGCTCCCCTTGTCTATCCTCTTGGCCAACTGCCGCAACTCCTTGCGCAGAATCTTCCCACTCGGACTCTTGGGTATGGCATCAATAAACACCACGCCTCCTCTTAGTTTCTTGTGGTTGGCCACTTTGCTGGCAACCCAATCCACAATCTCCTCGGCCGTGAGAGTCGCATCGCCAGCCACGACATACGCCCTACAGTATTCCACCCACCACATTAGCTTCCGATATCCGACATCATGTTCGACTGAATCCACTCACCGAGGAACTTCAGTCTCTTCTCCCTCCACGCCAATCACTGCCGCATCAGCTATCTTGGCATGACTGACCAACAAGGCCTCCAGCTCGGCCGGTGCCACCTGGAGCCCCTTGTACTTGATGAGTTCCTGCGACTTCTGTTAACCCAAAAGTCACACCAGCAAACCACCATCATCTCTCACCTTCTTTCGATCGACGATATAAAACTTGCCGTCCTGAAACAGCCCGATATCCCCAGTGCAGAACCACCCATCCACAAAGGCCTCCTTGTTGGCTGCATCGTTCATATAATACCCCTTGGTCACATTGGGCCCCTTGACCCACAGCTCGCCCGCTTGCCCTGCTTCCACGTCCTTGCCATCGTCGTCAACAATCCGCGCCCGGCCATTCATCACCAGCATGGACACACTCCCCGTTTCGTCGTCGATCCCCCGCGGCATGCTTGTCATGGCGCCCGTCGTCTCGCTCAGACCCCATGTTTGCGTCAGATATGCCTTGCCCTTTCCAAGCTTCTTCCGCGCTGCCAGTTGGAGCTCCTTTCCCATGGGAGCTGCCCCCGCCACAGCCCACTCCAGCGAGTCAAACTGATCCGTCACCAGAGGGCTTTTGGCAATGGCCAGGTATATCGGTGGCACCGAGACGAGCGTCGTGATCTGGTATTTCTTGCTGTACTCGAGGAACTTGACAAGGTTGAAGCGCGGCATCCAGTACAAGGTGCCGCCCACATAGAAGCTGTTGACAAAGTAGCCCTGCACTCCCGCAATGTGCGCCGCCGGCAAGTGGGCAATGGTCCGGTAGTCCGCCGACATATCCCGTCCCCTTGCCTTCTCGTACTCTCGAGCCGGATCAAGCACAAGACATGCCTGGCTTACCATGTTGGTGTGCGAGAGCCTGCACATTTTAGGCAAACCAGTGGTCCCGCTCGAGAAGAGAATGCAGATAATGCTGTTTTCAAGGGCTTTCGTGTCCGTGATACGTTGCCACTCCAAGGTTTTGGTTGAGATGGGAATGGGTGTTGACTGTTCAAGGTTGGTGAGTTCGAGGTGCGGCTGCGATCCCAGAACAAGGACTCGGGAGCCGGGAATGTTGGCCAGCTTCGCCGCGGCTGCAGCAACTTCCTTGGTGTCTTCATTGCACAGGACGAGCTTTGCCCCAATCTGCTTGATCTGCCCAGCGAGCTCGGTAGCCGTGGATGCCGGACTTGATGCCGAAAAGATTCCGCCCGCCGCCATGGTCGAATAGAACAGACAGGGCAAGAGGAAGTGCCCTGACGAGATACACAACACCACATCTTTTTCCGGCCCGTCTTGACCAATGCCGTACCGGTGACGGAGGGTATAAGCCAGACGCTTGACCAAGTGCCGAAGCTGGGCTTTACTAACTGCCTTGCTGGGATCGGCAGCGTCGGCGTGGACCACCGTGTCCTCCTTCGCTCCGCATGCTGATGAGTCTGCAAAGGCATCAGTAAATTTATAAGGCCAATGCTGACAACGGCTCC